CCAGGTTGCTGACGGTTACGATCGTCCAGTGTTGCCGTTGTCTGTCAATGTATATTGCGCCTCGTCGATGAGGGGGAAATTCTATCTTCAGGGAGGGAAGCTGATCTCTCTTGAGTGCCATTGAGGGGTATGATCGACAATGGCGATTGGGCTGGAAATAAGAAGATATAGGGTGTAGATATGATACTCTTGAGGATCAATCATGCCAACTCTGTCTTTTACTACATACCATGGAATGATGAATTTTCATGATATTCAATGTCGCAGATGAAACCTTTAGCGGACGTTAGTCGTTCGGGTTTGAGCAATAAAGGACCTTCAACCACGCTCTAGATACTCTGTGTAGTATACAGGGCTATCCACATTAATGGCATGGTCCAGTTCTGATGACAGCTACATCTGTAACATAGCCAATAACACTAAATTGACAAGGATAAGATTGAATAGGGCCGGTTTAGTATGATGTGGCCGACATTTTCGGCGCCATAGGAAATATATTCTCAGCCTTGATACGAATGGATCTATAAAGCGACGCTAAAAGCCTATGCATTTGCATTCTGTCAGAAATTGCAAGTAATACTAGTGCATTGTCTTGACTTGGCAGGCGCATCATCATCTATCGGTTCCATATATGTCGTTTTGGGAGATGAGGCGTCAGATGAATTATCCAGATATAGAAATATCTGGCATCGTGTCTCATTATACTGGCTATCAAGTCACTAGTGATGATTCATGTCTCCATATACTCTCTTCATAGGATTTAGATACGACAACTGAATTGGTATGCCATTAAGATTCGTGAATCTACCGCCTAGCCAGGGTAGGCAGAATATCTATTTCAGGCAGGCGGTACGCCAGAAGCCGCTGAACCCTAGATATGTTCGTTGCATCCCACTATATCAGGAGCCCACCCACAGATGAACTCGTATGTGCCATTAGCTGTAGATTTATGCCTTGTAGGGTATTAGTACACTGTACACACTAATCAGACATTAGATAATAACCTCTCACACAGTTGGGGGTTATCCCTGCTCATTAGAGATGTGCCATCACCATCAGTAGAAAGATTTCTGTTTGCGTTGTTTGCACATCATCACCCCATATCGCCGACTGCCATTCTCCGAAGATCCAACTTCATTGTTCCCTGAATCCAGACGCAAGCCCATAATGCGGCCAATTACTCGGTCGGCACTCCGACCTTATGTTTGCCCTTCCTGCCGGTCTGGCCGCTTTGAGGGCCGTAGAAGATTTGGGTCCAAGCCCGATCAATCCCCCGATGTCTACGATGTGGTGTGTGTCGGAGGTGGTCCAGCAGGTCTAGGGTTACTAGCAGCTTTGCGTAAGGCATTTTCTACCGGAAATCTTTTCAACTCACTCAATTCCATGTGCGCAAGACTAATGCCTTTCTATAGGTGCTTCTCCCTTAACATCAAAGCTCAGGGTAGCCCTCGTCGAGACCCAGGACCTACAAAAAGCTCGCGCCTGGAACCTCGATTCACAGCAATTCTCAAACAGAGTCAGCAGCCTAACACCCTCGTCCGTGTCGTTCCTGCAGAAAATCGGGGCCTGGGAACATCTTGACGTAGACCGAGCTCAAGAATACCAGGAGATGCAAGTATGGGACGGTGAAACAGATTCGCGCATAACTTTCGACTGGTCCGCGGATACTTCCCCGTTCGAAAACCTCCCCACAGTCGCGACAATGACGGAAAACGCCAATCTTGTCCGTGGACTTCTGTCGCGCATCGCGGCATCTGGAGACGAGAATATCTCAATCTTCTCGAACACAACCGTCTCATCTATCGAAAACGGTACGGACCAGCCGGACGGCCCGGACCTATCAGCCTGGCCAGTTCTTTCCCTCGCTCCAACCGGCGCAGCACAGTCACAACCCCCAACTCGGATCGCCGCAAGACTACTAGTCGGTGCGGACGGTATCAACAGCCCTGTCCGCCGGTTTGCCGACATTGCAACCGAGGGCTGGGACTACAATCGTCACGGCGTCGTCGCGACTCTTTCCCTCGCCGACCCGGATCAGGTCTCATTCCCTATCGGCACAAGAACCGCCTACCAGCGCTTCTTGCCTTCCCTCGGAGGCCCAGTTGCTTTGCTACCACTCCCCAACAACCACGCAACACTAGTGTGGTCCACCACGGTAGAAAACGCCGCCTATCTCAAGTCTCTTTCCCCGAAAGCGTTCATCGCCATGGTCAACGCCGCATTCCGCCTCCCCATGACCGACCTTAAGTACATGATGCGCATGGAGCGCCCAACGACCTCTGCATCGGACTATGAGGATTCACACGAGAGCGAACTGACTTGGCGTCTGCAACATACCCCGCAAGCCTCCCACGTCCCGCCCATGGTAAATGGCGTACAGGAGGGCAGTGTGGCCTCTTTCCCTCTGCGCTTCCGACATGCATCAACCTACATCTCACCACGCGTGGCGCTGGTCGGCGATGCCGCCCATGTGATCCATCCGCTTGCTGGACAAGGCCTCAACCTTGGAATGGGCGATGTGGCGTCCCTCTCCAAGACGATCGAATACGCAGTCGACCACGGAATGGATATCGGTGATATTCTTTCTCTGGAGAGATACACTGCCGAGCGGTGGGCTGTCAACGCTAAGATCGGAGGTGTCTGTGATATGGTGCATAAGCTTTACAATGTTCCGGGCCAGGGGCCGGTTGCATGGGGTCGCAGTCTAGGTTTGGAGATCATTGATCGGTTACCTTTTGTTAAGGGATTCTTGATGAAGAATGCTGAGGGTTGATTGAGTGGTTGAGGCCATAATTGGCCCTCCTCACTGCATTTTTACTACTCCCTTCAAAGTTCTTCCTCTCCTTCCCCCGTGTATTACCTATATATCAAATGAGACCTTGTATTAGATCCATAATACAAAGGTCAAATCTGCAATATGTACATTATTATGAATTAAAAACACTCAAAGACTTCTCAAGGCAATTTACTTTGCATATTACGTGTTCCAAACAAGGAGTAAACGTGAAATCTAAATCGGGTATTGAAATTTCCTTTTCATCCTGTTTGGTAAATCTAGTTTGTCGGGGCATTGACGTTGAGGCCCTCGAGCTGTTGTGTTACAGCGGACGCCTGATCCTGCTTCCTAGCCACACGGGTTTTTATCTCAGCGGGGAGATTAGCGAGATCCACCAGCACACCTTCCTTCTCGGGGTGGCCTTCTTCGAGACCCATCTCCTTGATGCGGACTTTGCCGTTGGCGAGTTCGTCCTCACCCAGAATGACGGCGAAGGGGACACCACCTTGTTCGGCGGCCTTGAACTGTTGTGGGAGCTTGGGCTTAACCTTGTAGGAGAACTCGGCCTGTCTCAAGGGTTAGTCGACATTCTATTTTTGTAAAATTCCACAAGCGCAATCGAAAGCCAGGCTTACCTTGACACCGGCGTTCCACAAAGCCTGGCAGACGCTCATGCGCTCCGTCAGCATGCCGTTGAAGCCCTTGCCGCCGAAAGCCATGACGAAAGCGTCGACTTCGCTGCTGCGCAGAGCCTCGGCGCTATTTTCACGCTCAAGGCGGGCCTTGGTGATGGAGAAGATACGGTCGACACCGAATGAGACACCAACACAGGGGATCTGAGCCTTGGGCAAGAACATGCCCACCAAGTTGTCGTAGCGGCCACCAGCGGCAACACTTCCCACTCCCAGAGTAGGGTCGTCTGATCTGTCGTCGTCGGCGTTGCCACCCTTAGACTTGCTCTTCTTGGCTGATTTCTGCAGTTTCTCCGCTTCGGGGGCAGAGGATGAAACGGCTGGTGCGGAGCCTTCGGTGACAACTTCGTAGATGACACCGGTGTACTGTTGACCAATTAGTAAACATGCGACCCAAGATAGATATAGGTGCGAAACTAACATAATCTAATCCACGAGCAAGACTCATATCGAAAGAGATACGGTCAAGGACTCCGAAAGCCTCCAAGTAGTCCATAAGGAGACCCATATCCTCCAGACCAGCCTTAGCGGAGGCATTCGCCAGAAGAGACTCATCCTTCAACAGAGTCTCGAGAAGGTCCCGCGTACCCTTCTTGACAACATATGTTTCAATCTTGTCCGCAACGGCGCCATCAAGGCCCTTCTCTTCAACCATCTCCTTCCGGACATCGGCCCAAGGCATCTTATCCAGCTTGTCCACTGCGCTAGAAATCGGGCGGATCTTCTCTGCCGGCACACCACACACCTCGAAGACACCGTCCAAGATCTTCCGGTGGTTGATCTTGATGCTATAACGACCCTGCCATCCAAGCCCCTCGAACACTTCGGTGACGATCTTCAGAACCTCGGCATCGGGAACCATAGGGTCAAAGGTACCAGCAACATCGAAGTCACACTGATAAAATTCCCTCATGCGACCCTTGCTGACGGCGGGCTGATCCCGTCGATACACCTTGGCAATATGATAGCGCTTCATGCTGCGCACGTCGGGGTTCATGGCGAGCCAACGGGCAAAGGGAACGGTCAAATCGTAGCGGAGGGAGCAGATCTCACCACCCTGGTCCTGCAGGTCGTAGATGAGCTTAGAGTCCTCGCCATATTTTCCGGCGAGAATCTCGCGCAGCTCGAAGACGGGGGTGTCCAACGCGGTACCGCCGTGACGCTTGAAGACATCGGCAATGGTGGTGAAGATGCGATCGCGGAGGAGGGCATCGGACCCAGACCAGTCCTTGGTACCCTTAGGGGTCTTGAGGTTGAAGTTGTTCTTTTCCTTACCCATCGTGTCTACCGGGCGCGACGAACTGAGGTTTGAGGAGGAGGAAGACGAAGAAGAGTGGCGGTAGTGGGGGATGGTGGGGTCGTGAATACTACTAGTACTAATAATATTCTTGAGGGCTGTTGGGCGGATGGCCGCTGTCGCTGTCAGGGCCCGACGACGGAGGGTGACAACTACCGGGTCGGCAATTGCTCGTCGTGCTGAGCGCAGAAGGCCGGATGAGAGAGTGGACTTCATCCAAGACAGTTTGGAATGAAATACCTGGAATAATTCCTAAAGCATGAGTCAAGTCGATTTTCTGGTCCGAGCCTGTGATTGGACCCTTTCTTGCCGTTTCTGTTTTTCTTTGATATTCGGCTGAATCGGGTATGTTTCACCGTCTCCGACCCCGACCTCCATTGGGAAGTTAGGGCTCAGATTCAGGGCAAAAGTCACATGGCGCATTAAGGTATCTCCTCTTTCTCTCTCTCTCTTTCTCTCTTGATTCATTGGTGAATACATGGTCCATACCCAGAATAATATACATAGAAAGATTAGTAGTCACAGCAACGTTCACTATACGCCTTAGTTTCCCACGTTTCCCACTCATCATGACTCTGCCAACGAAGATCTTGTCACATCACCTGCAATCCATTAGCATGAGAGTCTAGTAGAAAGCGACTGGGAACTCTGCCTTACCTCTGCGATTGACTGTCTCTCGATGATCGACTTCTGCTTCTCATTCCGCGACACCCGATAGTAGTAATCGCTAAAGTCTCCGCACTGCATGTAGCGCAGGAACTCCTCATCGTGAGTGATAACAATAAGCTGGAAATTACTCTGCGCCTGACGAGTGCGAATGATATCATGTAGCGACTCAGCCAAGGACCGGATATTATCCCGATCAAGATTTGTCGTCGGCTCGTCAAGCGCGATCAGACCGCAGTTGACACCAAAGCACTCTGCGAGAGCCAAGCGGATGATGATACTTGCGAGTACCTTTTGTCCTGCACTGCAGCGTCCACGCATATCCATTTCTGCACCCTGCTTGACCATACACACTCGGTAGTTATATGACCGGTTACCCTTGGCATTTTCATTATCGGAGCGGATAAGGATAGTATCAACGTCGGTGCCTCGGTAAGTCTTCTGCCATAGTTCTCCGATAATGGCATTGATCTCCTCCATCTTTAAGCCATGGTATTTCATAATGGCTTTATCCAAGGCTCCTCCGTAGCGAGCCAGGTCATCCACCGCAGCTTTAGTGGTTTCCACCTTGATGTGTGCTTCCTTGTATTTGGGCGCTGCATCTTTATAGTCCGTGTTCCAGTCTGCTAGAAGCTGCATCAGTTGATCGTCTTTAGATTTCATCTCACCCATCCTGCTGGCTTGCTTTGCAGCCAGTGCGTTATGTTCGCGGGTTCGACGTTCTGACTCGTCCTTGAACCGACTCCGATCAACCTCTGCGTTCTGGGCTGCTAACTGTTCGATCTCTTGTGTGACCTCGTCAAGCGCCCTAGTTGCTTGACGATATGTGAGATTATCCGCATATTGACGCTTGGTATTCTCGCTATCCTTCAGCTGGGAAGATATTTTGTTGATCTCTTTCGTGATATCCGCCTGTTCGGCTTCGAGCTGGCCAATCTGCTTTTCGACATTCTCGAGTTCGCGTTTACTGCGTTCCAGTTGAGTCGGACCTCCCCGTTCCTTATATGCATCAATCTCTTCGTTTGCCAGCTCCAGCTGATGTACACTCTCCGACATCTGAGAGATTGTTTGTTGCATTTCTCTTTCGCGTGCCTCGGACCGCTGGCTAATATCATCGTACGTAGCCTGGACCTTGAGAAGCTCAGGAGTCAAATCCTCAATGTCCCTATCGGCTTTTGCGATTGCTTCTCGTTGCTGACTGTTGAGATTTTTGTACTCTTCAATACGAGCGAGGAGGTCGGACTTTTTTTCTAATTGGAACTTCGCGTTGTCGAGATTGCTCTTCACGTCTCTTAATTGCAGTTCCAGATTGTTGATCTCTGACTGTGTTTGCTCTTTATCATGTGTGATTTTCGACAAATTCTTTTTCAAAGCCCTTGACTTTTCACCAATTGTTGCTATCTCATCTTGAATATCCTCGAGCGTGCGTGCAGAGGTAGTATCCTGTTGTTTAGAGGAAAGATCTTGTATCTGGGAAATAATAGATTTAATTTCCGCACCATATCGGATGATCGTGTTGACCGTTTTGGAGAGAGCTTCGACATCTCTTTTCTTTTCAATTTTTTCTCTGACAATCTTGTCGCGGTCCTCCAACTGATTGAGGAGCTCATCACGCTGCAATACGTATTGTTCTTCTTCCTTTTCCAACTCCGGGATTTCCGTATGCTGAAGACGAGACCAAGTATCATAAGAAGTGCTGGCTGCCCGTGCAGCCTCAAGGTCCTCTTCTAGGTTCTTCACATCCTCGTCGTCGGCATCTCTTTTAGCCTTCTTAACCAAATTTTCCAATTTGTTTCTAAAGGTCTGCAGCTCGGCGTCACTCTTGAAACCCCGATGGCACAGCCTACACACCTTCGACTGTTTTACAGTTTCTAGACAAGTTGCCATATACTCGCCGATCCCAGCATACTGCTCAGCATCTTTTCTTGCAATATCAAGCTGTGCTTGTCGTTGCTTGAGTACTTCGGGAAATTCTTCGGGTTCATCATTGATAGCTTCACGAATCTCCTCGATGCATTCTTTTAGAGCCTTCTGTCGTTGCCCTAAAGCCTTCTTGGTATTCTTGAGTCTGAATTCCACTTGCTCTAGTTCCCTGCTGACGCCATCTCGTTCATTTTCAGCGCGGGACACCTGCTTGGATTCTTCTTCCAGCACATGCTGGAATTCCTGCTCCAGGGTATCAGGTTTCCAGTCTTGGCTGACGAATTTCGATAGACGTTCGCCGTGCGCGCCCTTCATGGTTTCCAGGCTGCGCTCCCGCTCCTTCAATTCCTTTTTTAAATGATCTAATCGTGCCAAGTCACCGGCCCGTTTAGTCGCATCGATGAGTTCCGAGTTCAAGCGCGAACTCTCATCTTCAAGACCTCGAATCTCGGAATTGATGTCGTGGATCTCTTTGTCCCACGAAGCAGATTTTGCTCGCTCCTTAGCTTGATGCAGGTGCGACTGAATGTCTTCGATGTTGGCCTCAAGCGCCGCTTGGATACCTTCATCCACGTTTATTTCATCAAGCTTTCCTTGATAGGTGGTCGATTCTTTGTCATTTGTAGCTATCTGTCGCCTAGCAGCGTTCTTGGTTTCCTGCAAGGCCGACTTCTGCTGTGCAATATTGTTCAGAGCCGCTTGCACTTCGCGCAGCTCACCTTGTGCTTCCCGCTTGACCCGGTCTAGGGTCTGATTCTGGTCTTTCAATAACTTTCTGACCTTTCTCATGAATTCATCAACATCACCTTGGTCCTGAATGTTGTCAAACCCCCGAATATTGTTGGTACGCGCGATGTCTTTGGTCATCCTTTGTCTCCGTTCAACTTGCCGCTCAAAATTGGCCTTGTCATTCTCAAACTTGCCGTATTCTGCCTGCTTGATACCTAGCTTTTGCCGCGTTCGCTCGATTTGCTCTTTGATCTCCATGTAGTTCTCCTTTTGAGCCTCTTCTTGCTGTCCATACTGAAGCTGCTTGGACTCGAACTGTTCCAAATTTAACTGCAACCATTCGTCCGAATCATCAAGCTCGACGAGGTGTCTTTTCAAATTGTCAATCGTTGATTGAATACTTTTGGCCTCAATACGCTTTCCTTCTAGAGTACCAAGGACTTGGGCGTAACTTTCTGACTCTCGCCAGGCTTTATCGGCTAGCTCAGCGACACGTCGCATCTCCTGAGAAAGCTGACTTGTCTCTAGACGTAAGGCTTCGATCTCTTCTTGTAGCTTAATTGATCGCTTTTCTGCTCGGTCTGCTTTTTCCTTGTCCTCCTTAGCGTGTTGTTCCATGATCTTGTACTTGGCAAGTTCCTCGTTCTGCTTCTTCCTCAGAGCTTTGATATTGTCAATAGCCTTTGTGTACTTCATGGCTTCAAAGATCTCGTCGAACTTCTTCTTCAGGACCGAAGGTTCACTCATAGGCCATAAGCTCTCGTCTTGGTGGCAGAAGATTACAGAATCTAAGATAGCTTTGGAGACCCCAAGATACTGGGGCATGATCTGATCTAGCTCCGCAACTCTCGAAGAGATAGCCGTCCTTTCACCATCTTTGATCATCAGCAGTTGGCCTTCTAGTGTCTTCTGCTGCCGGGTGGTTTTCTTCACGGTGAGTTGTAGACTCCGCGTAGATACCATCTTAGCACCCGACGTGCCCTTGAAGGACAGCTTCACTTGAGCCAAGACTTCTTTCTCTCCACATAGTTTCGGGTCATGGATGAAGGCGCCGCCCTTGCTGTTTGGCGGGAGGTCACCGGTGGTGGCGTATTTGAGACATTCAATGATCGTCTAAGGCCCGATTAGTGGAAGTGTTGCTGCTTTCAGTTGATTTGGATATTCCGTACTGTCTTTCCTGATCCATTGTAACCGACGATTAACGTAAGAGGGGTGTGGAATTGGATGGTCTCACTGCGGGTGTTGTCGAAGGAGCGAACCCTAAAGCAACGCAAACAATGAATCAGCAATCGGTGACGGGAATCCTTCGGGAAATACACTTACCCTAGAATTGAAAGCTTATCTATCTTCGCTGGTATGGGTCAGTATATTAGATTCATCGCCCCGCAGTCGATCTCCGCACCACTTACACCTGCTAGTTTGTCAGTGCCAGACGGGAGACAGGACCACAACACCCGACTCACATCTTGAGAGTGTCGCGCAACCGTACGTGGATAAACAGACGTTGGGCTAGATGTATGAGGTCCCCCCTTTAACCTTCAAAATGACCTCGTCCTTCCTAAAGTGCCCTTGGTGATATTGCACGACCAGCGTCCTCGGACAATCAGGTCACTTTTGGCGTTCGGCACTTGGTGCTGCGCGTCACGGACCCTAAGAAACCGACGCGGGGAAGCGGCGCGAGATCACGTGGCGGCGATGGCCGACTAAAGTCGGGGATTAAATTGAATTTAGGACGTACTTTTGACAGATGATAGCCGCCCCGTCATGTGCTCAGGTACTGTACCCTCTCCCCAAGGATAGGAAATGATGGCTCTCACACATATGGCCAAAGGACTTAAGTTGGTTGGTACCAATTGAATCCTTCTCAGTGCCTGGGACCCCCTGAGTGCCAGCATTGGACGAGAAGTTCCGGTCCTGTTAACGGTGGACAATATCTCATTGGCGCGGCGAGTGGGCCCTCCGGCGTTGTTATACAGCACCGGAATTGACAGCTCTATCGCAGCCTTAGTGGCTCGTGTATCTTGCAATCCCACGGTGGCCATTCCTCATGTCCGAGAGAATATTTCCTCCCTGCAAAAACATCGTTGGTTTCCCTGGTGCCAACGATGGATTGGGCCGCTGCCAAACACGAGAGTGGGGTAACGCAGAATCATCAGCACAGAATGCAGGCCGAAGATCAAGGTTCTTTTACAGGAGAGATTCAGAAACTTCCACCACCGCCGGCCGGCAATGCGGGTGCGCAGAACTCATCCGACCCGGCGGATGAACAGGGTTGGCCGCAGCGTGTGTTAAACGCGATGAAAGATATGCTACTACTTCTCAGCTCCGACGGCAAGATCTTGTATGCATCGCCATCGTGCAAATCCATCACCGGCTACGACGCAAACCAACTACAGCAGAAAGCCTTGGAGCGCTTTATACACAATGATGATAAGACCATGTTTACCGAGGAGATGAATGAGTGTATCACGACGTCTCGTCCAGTGCATTGCCATTTCCGGTTTCGCAAGAAAGACAACAATAGCAATACATCTTGCCTGTTGGAGGCACATGGACACCCACATATGAAAACGTCTGAACCGAACAACAGTCCTGGAAATCATAATCAAGATTGTATTGGCGTTTTTCTTCTGTGCCGACCTTATCCCACGAGGGGCTCTCAACTGATCGACTCATTTCTGGAGCATAAAATCGAGAACGTGCGACTCAACCAGCGAATAGCACAGCTAAGGCAGGAAGAAGAGGAGGATTTGGCATCAGGTCAACAGTTATATGCCGGCGACTCCACGGGAGATTCTACCTCCCGCCACAATTCTCATTCAGGTCGATCCAATTCCAATCAATCATCGTTCCGCGATAACACTGGGTCTGGTGAGGAGAACGAGTCATCCGACACCCTCACAAACGATGATCCCGACTCCCGGTCGTACCTGGATAATGCCGCGGATAGATTGGGCCAGACGGAGGACATGTCTCATATTGAGGGAATCGAGATGCTGACCGGTCTACACTACGGTGATGGTGAACGTTCCCAGGGTCTCAGTACTGGCGTCCGCCAGGGTCGCCTCATCCATTATGATATGGAATCTGCCATGCTAGATCAGCAGGCCCGCGTCATCCAGGACAGCGATCGAAAGAAACGACAGAAGGGTGAATATATGTGTACCGATTGCGGAACCTCAGACTCTCCCGAGTGGAGAAAGGGGCCTGAGGGACCCAAGACTCTGTGTAATGCATGCGGATGTAAGTCACCAGTCCATACACCCTCTCCTTCTCTTTATCGCAAGTGTCCAGACTAATAGCATATCCAGTACGCTGGGCCAAGAAGGAAAAGAAACGGCAAGATCAAATCTAACCACTACCACTACGTGGAATCAGCAACACTTGTAACATTGTACCCCTCGTTCCTGCATTGCGAAACATGTTCCTGCGGCGATACCCCTGCATTTTGCTCCGTCCTGCTATTTCTTTTTCGAGGGCAATTTTTATTTTGGCATTGTCTGGTGGTGACAGCAAATTCTTTCCAGCAGTTGTGTTGTGCGAGAATTATGTATGGTCCCAGTTTGGAACTTAAGATATTTATGGATAACTAAGGCTCTCTTCCGGTTTGCTATCTTTTCTTGTATTCAATTAGATTGGGGCTAAGCACGAATAGTCAGCCAGTCGCGGCGGCTCGGTTGCTCTAGTGGCGATAATGGTATAATGAACAAATGACAGCTGGAAAAGCGAAATGAAAAGAAAAGGCCCAAACATAATACGTGATTGTTCATGAATTCCTCTTGCAAGTGCCCCAAGTAGGGCTTTAGAAAAAACACCCGATTCATGCAAATCGATCGCTAAGCGGGAAGTGAAATAGAAACATAAGTGGTTCTCATATGACCGTGTGGGTATTAAATTTTCAAGGGCATTTTTACAAACTTCTGAAAATACTCACGCCTTGGCCGCCTTCTTAGGAGGTGGCGGAAAGTACATTTGAGGTTGGTTCCCCGGCGCCAAGGTTTCCGATGACTCTTGCTGTGTTGGCGGGCGAGGGTTTGGTGTGCTGAAATGGTCCCGGAGTGGAAGATCTGACGATCCAGTCCCAAATGTACTAAATTCAGGGCTTCGTGACGACATGGTAGGCATCATCTGCGTAGCACCCCCTGAAGGCAGCGCGGGACTCATCATGGGGAACGTTCTGGGGGTCCTGAGAACCATATCTTCGTACTCCTTCATGGTTCTCTTTTCTTCGCGGCGTTCGTCACGCTCTGCCTTCTCCTCCTTGGTCAAGAAGCAGGAGTGCACGCTCACGATAATTTCGACAAAATAAAGAACACTATGAATATGATGTCAGTTACCAGGGGTCAAGGGACAAAAGAATCATTATAATATTAGGTGCCAACCCACATGATAATGATAGTAAAACCAAAGAGCGCCTTGGCTTGTTGGCAATATCCGATGTTATCTTTATTCGAAGCAACACTGCATGACTTCGTAAGATACCACGGCGGGCCTGATTGCAGGTGCTTAGGATCCGACTTGTCGGAACCAGCTTGATAACTGGCCGACACGATATATAATATGAACAGTCCCACGTGGACGAACACTGACACAGGCGGGTAGAAAATCCGCAGGATATGGACTGGGAGTTTGGTTATTAAGATGAAGGTGCTCAAAACACCAATGACTAGATTGTAATTTGTTATGCTACAATGCCGTTAGTTACTGTCGCATGATTGAAACCTAACCATTGTAAGGCAAGAGATGAATACATACAAAGAGCCCCAGACCATAGGAACTTTATAGGGCCTATGGTTCGCGGCAGCATAGAGAATCTCATCGGGAGAACTGTTGAAGCCATTATCTGCTCCATCTTGCCATAATTTGGTCCGGTATAGATCGTGAGAAGCAATCCCAGTAAATGTAAGGATGACAATAGTAATGGGAAGCTCAAGGGCCATCAAAATATAAAAGAGATTGTGTTTGCGCCATTTTCGTGGTAAGGAAACCATGATGGCGATTGTATATTTATTCCGCGAAGACACGAATTCCGTAGTTGGCAGATCAGGAGGGTATACAACGTTAGGTATATAATTTGCACGGTGAGATTGTGTCCTTGAACAGTTACGCTGTGGCCAGACCGGCTGGCTGGGCATTCAACTCAGTCGCATCGGACGGCCAGTCACATAGAGCACAAAGAGACAGGGAGAAAGACAGCTATCAGAGAAAGGCTTGGAGGATCAGCCGGGACGAAGCCGTTAATATGGAGCAGAGCGATCCCAGGTCGCCAGGGCCAACCTCTCTAGCCCATGGCGAAGGTCAGAAGAGGGGCACTAGCACCTCGAGTCGGCGACAAAACTGCAAAGAAACTCTAGAGCAACGCAAGTTAACTGTTTCTCAGAGATGCATCTGGCCAATGCTTGCCGCCAGGGAAGCGCCAACACCAGCCGGGGCTCGGGTGCTCATCACCAATAAGATGGCGAAAGTGGAAGATTGGCTGCCGGCCGTCACACGCTAGGCCGTGTGATGGAGAAATTGATCTGCATGGTTGAGCAACAGACTGGCACCACTGGTTAGTTTGTGAATTTGTCCGTGGTGCCGCAGGAATTCATAGTTTCCCTAGACTGTCCTGTTAGAGAGCAAAGCGCTGGGGTGGGGAATCTAAACATTAGCAGTGTGCTTCTGTGATTCCACTTGCATGATAAAATCAGGCGTGAGGGAAGAAACTTGTGTCCATAAGCGTGCTCAATTCTTGCCTCATTTGAAAATGTTTTTGTTTTAACGGCATTTTCTGTTACGTTAAGAAGTAAGTGAAAAAGATAAAGAGGTGTGGACGGAATCTATAAGACCAACTCGTTAACTAAAAAGTGTTTGTATTGTATTAGTAACAAACGTCATTGGATGTACATCATGTCACTTGACTACTACTACCCAAGTCGACATCAACCCACATCATTTTCTATCACACATTTCTACAGGGATTAAAAGAAGAGGAGCTTAAATGCTATAGTACCAATCAAACCAAATGCGCTCATAAGTGGATAGATCACTCTACTGGGTACTGTACATACATACCACATGCGACCCCTCCAAATCTTGCGTTGCCGCCAATTCCATAAGCCACCACCTAACCTCAACCTGCCGCATAAGCGCCGTCCCTCGGTGATTCGGCACGAAATGAGCTCTCTGGCCAGTAAAAAGACGTCGGTGCCTCATAAGCTGCGCACCGCAGCAGAACCCCGGCAAAATATTCTGTACAATGTGCGGCTATCACATATCGAAGAGGTCAATCCTACCGTACGGCTGCTGCACTTGGCCATCCCTCCGCGGGTGCAAGCTCTAGAGGAGTCAAACCAGGGTGAAGAAGAGGTATAGTATCTTCAATTAGTCATTTATTTCCACACTATAAGTTCTGTTATGGATTTACCAACGGTTCTCCGGTACTGATATTTGGTTCATACCAAATTGCGCATGCTCTCAAGAGCCACAGTTACTATACATACCAAATGCTATTGGAGCATACACTAACACCAGAACAGTCTGACCAACCTCAGCCATTCACTTTCGCTCCTGGTCAATGGCTAGATGTGCATATCCCGTCGATATCCGACGCCGGGGGTTTCAGTATTACCTCAACACCAGCAGATGCTGAAGCCCTCCCCTCTCTCCAGCCCACGGCAGAGTCACTTGCCGTGGAAGACGAGGAAACAGGTCTCCCTCCTGTAGACCCAAGAGGCAGAGACCCGTACGTGGAATTAGCCGTTCAAAAGGCACTCTCCAATCCCGCCAGCGCCTGGCTCTGGAAACCCAAGGATGAAATTCTAGGAAAGGAGTTATGCATCCGAGTCGGCGGCAGCTTCGTCTGGCCTCCTCCGTCCGGGATAGATCTCGAAAAGGTTAAAAACGTAGTTCTCATTGCTGGGGGAGTGGGCATCAAGTAAGTTCCCCAGTGCTACTCACTACAACATGGGCTTTTTATATCAATCTACTCCAACATCAACGTGCTAACCAAAACAAAAGTCCATTAATTTCTATCCTCTCACATTTAAATAACAATGCCGACGAAACCCCAGCTTCACACCACCCTTTCAATATCCACTTTCTCTATTCTACTAAACTCCCAGCAGCAGCATCTCAGGAGGCTGCTACATCTCCTGAACCCGTCTTGGATCAAATCCTTTTTCTCTCTCGCCTCCGTCAGATCATTCATTCCCAGTCTCAGTCTCATCGGTTACGCATAACCCTCGATCTGTTTGTTACTAGCTTACGAGATGCATCGTCTCCACTTCTACTAGAACAGCCGAATGATTTGAGTATTCACCCACGGAGAATAAGTCAGGATGATCTGCGTACGGCGCTTACCGGCCCGAATCGCGATATCCAGGCTGAGGAGACCGTTTGTTACATATGCGGACCGCCTGCCATGACTGATGAGTTTGTCGCTACCCTTCGAGGTCTCATGCGTGATGGGAGTGATCGCGTTTTTTTCGAAAAATGGTGGTAGAGTGTTTACCAAGAGTAAATGCCACTATAAAATATTGAATAGGTTCATTAACCCTGAGAAACCTACATAGTATTCCTAATACCATGAATATTCGTGCGGATATGTATGAACAAGGAAGTAGCAAACAGAAAATAGCATTCTTTTCATGATACCTTCGATCCCCTTTCCCACGAATCCAAACTCCCCAGCCGACGCCCTTTAGAGCCAGCGTATGTTGACGTCCTCGCACTATACAAAGATAATATAAACACAAGAGTAGAATGTAAAAGAGTGGGGGGACCGAAATAAACAGAGGGCGCGCCGGCATTGATAACAATATTTTGTAAAGAAGGGTAAATCACTCTGTCAAAGAAGCTGAGGGACAATGGTTCTTTTTTTCTCTCAAACCCAGAATATGAAATGCCCTGTGAATGTTCATCTTTTCACGACATTCCTCTCACAGCACCACCGTCAACTATCATCTGTTCATCGATCTTGGCCTCCGTTTCGCCATACTCAAGCCGCTTATATGTCATAACCCGCCCGGCATTCATGTCGAAGTCAAAGAACCTCACACGCCGGACATAATCTTTATAGCCTCCATAGCCTCCGAATCCAACACCTCCTCCATAACACATCCAGAGCGATGGCTTCTCGTCTTTATTGTTGTTAAGCATGCAGTAGTCATTGACGTGGTCACTAAAATTCCATTAGTAACACAAGACGTCACAAATTAATTGGGCAAAAACAGGGTTGAACTTACTGTCCACAGCTAACGAATAGGATACCCTCCTCTTCGAGTGCATCCTTGAAGCCTGAATTGAATCCTGGAGCGGTTGGGGGTTCGTCCCAATTGCCAATGTACAGGTTATTTGGGTCACGGTATTCAGGCAGCGGGATATGAATGAATGCCATGTTCATGTGCATGTACGCATATTCATGGTGCTTCCTCTTAAGGCCTTGGGCAGTGTTCTTGAACCAACGGATCTGGCTGGGCTTGATCCAGTCATAACCTCGGAATTGCCGTTCATCCGGCGAATACGAATGCGAGTCAAGAAGATAAAGAGTCAAAGCTGAGTGTGCGCTATTACCACGGCCGAGAACCTCGACGATGTAGTTACCAACACCGTCTATGTCCTCAGGGCCAGCCGACGACATTGAATACGGCAGTTGCTCTAACATGGCCATAAGTTCCGACCGGTTGAGATTGCCCTCGTCGTCATGATTGCCAAAAATAGCTGCGTAGGGAATCTTGCGATCCACAAGCAGCTTGACAGACTTAAAAAGCGAGCTTTGTGCATCCTTAGAGGTTTCACCGTTCACCTGATCACCAGTAAGGACCACCATATCGGGCTTCTCTTCATCCAGGAGCCTCTCCACAAACTCAAGTGTCCGCGGGTCAGCCTCACACTTCTGGCCAGGAACAGGTTCCGCTGGGATAGGGTCACGGCACAGTCCAAGACCGGTACTCAAATGCAAGTCCGCCAGCTGCATAATTTTAAAGCGACCATGTTCATTGATCCTGGGAATTGGTCTTTTCTGCTTCTGAGGATCTCCCCTCTGAATACTGATACGGGCTTCTAATTCTTCCGTTCGACTATCCAGCAGCAGCGGTGTATCTCTGACCTCCCAGCCAATCCGTGGATCCACCGCATCGGCGCCGAAAAGAACATCGACCAAGGTGATCGCAGTCTGTGAGTCACTCGCGTGGCGCTTGGCTGTCCGTCTCAGCCAAATGCCACCTGGTCTCGGCTCCCACGTAGCTTCGTCTTTCTCCCCATCTTTATTATCGTCAGTGGTCTCCGGAACAAGCCGACTAATCTTCAAATCAATCACAACTTTGTCCGTAGGAAGTAGGTCCTCCTCCTTTTTCCGCTCAAATTGGACAAAGGCGGTGGACGTCCAACCAGTGCGCAAATAAAGATCCTTGTCGACCTGTGTCCATGATTGCGAAATAGGTTTGCATTTGGAGAAAGGATTGATATGCGAGCACGATTTGATGGTGACATCCGTAACAACGAGTCCTGAATAGTGCGAAGGAAGGTGGCCATGAATAGCGGCAGGTAGGACGCGAAACCGGTTATCTAGAGTTACGACGAAAAGCAGTATACAAACAGCAAATACTGCGAGTTGTACACCCGCGCGAACCTATGAGAAGACATATTAGACGCCTAAGCACCACACACAAGCTATAAGAATTGATGCGAGGGGCCATACAAATCGGCGTGTCATGTTGGTAGTGAAAACCCCTGGCAAGTTCTAAATCGATAAAAAACTGCCGAGCGCTGAAGCATGATGAAGTATAGCAAGCTGCAAGAGAAAAGTTGGGGCTCGCCACAGAGAAGACCCAACACTAGGTCATCTCAAGGGGCCGTGAAATGGAGGATAAAGCAACTCAGCTGGACCCGAAATTCCCCCGTATTTTGAAGGTCGCCGCAAATCCCGCCAAGTCTAGAAGGCGGTCACGCCCACCCTAACTGGGCCGATCGAGCCCTGTGGGTCCATGGGCCTGTCATCAGTGGCCAGAAAGTCTATTGCCACAAATTACTATGAATCAGGGTGCTCACTGTCTTTACGATGTATATTCAGTATCTATGGGACTCTCTCTCTCTCTCTCTCTATATTTATAAATCCAACGGCTTCGCCGTTAATAATTTCAGATGTCTTACCTTAGTTTTTCTCTTTGTGGACAGTTTCGAGTCCTTCCTGGGCCACCTTCTTGATCGTGACCTTGCCGCTCAGGATGTCTTTCGTTGTGGCCAGGATTGAGGACCAGCTCTCGAAGACGGTGAAGGGTGTTCCTTGACGCTCGCAGTAGGTCACCAGATCTAGGAATAATCAGCTCACTGGAGAGGATGGAAGAATCTAAAAAAAATCCAGGGGAAAACACGCACCCCTTCCTTTCTTAGCAAACAAAAGATCGGTCTCGGAAGCAGCCGACAAGTCCGAGACGCCATCCCCCGCGTACAACAAGGTCGGACGTACGTTGTCCGGCAGAGCGGCATAGGGCTTAATCTCCAGGGATTTGTCGTGGCCAAAATGGCTATCATCGTGATACTTAATCTGCCAGCCGCCCTCAGTATTGATATCCTTGCCATCACGGCTTTCCACATCGTTGGCGACAATAACGAGGTGGTCATCGGGTTTATGTCCTAGCAGAGTTTCGAACAGGGCGCTAATGACCGGGGTCATGCCGGATGACAATACTACAATGGGCACATTGTTTTCCTTGGACCAGTGGTAGAATTCGATAAAATATGGATCAAGCTGCATGTTCTTTTTCAGTTGCTCGATGCATTCATTGAAGGGAACCTTGACGCTGTCTAGCATATCACGGAAGGCATCACTAACAGCAGATGGGTTAACAGACTGTGCCTCGAGGGGATTACCTACACCGTGATACATACCGAAAGCTAACTTTGTTCTCCAAGACGTCAAGGTTCCCTTGACGACGCTTCTCTTGTCCATAACCGAGGTTGTCAGTCTAGGCCAAGGTCAATTAGCGAGGAGTCCTGTAACAGGTTCTGGGAAGACAAGTACCAAGAAGTCATTGCTGTCCTGGAGTGTAATGGTCCCGTCAAAGTCCGTGAAGAAGATGATCTTGGGGTTAGTCTTCATATAAGGAAGATTTGAAGCGCTCATGGTGACGGTGTATGGGAGTGATTACTTGCTACGTGTAATCACAGTGAAAACAAAGAACAAATGAGTAGGTGGATTATTAAAAAATAAAAATAAAAAGAAGAAGAGTCTGAAATAGTAGTGAAAGCTAAAAGGATGCGGCATTCATTTGACATCCCACCGGTGAAGAGGAAAAGGAAGAGAAGCCAGGAGACAAACCCCGCGATGTGGCTATACTCGATCTGTTTAGTAGTTCAGCCATCCTTCATTCAAACAGTGTTTAAAATTGCCTGATTGAACAAATGTGGTGCCTGAGCGGCGGTTCACTATTATTAAGTTCGGAGTAAACCGCACTAAACCAGTTTCTGGGAATTATGCGGAGTAAAAATGAGAGAAATTTACCCGTTGATGTAATATCTGATATCACGCTATCTCAATTATGGGGCCTGGCTTCTTCCTTTTTTTTTTCTTTTTTTTTTTTTTTTTTTTTGGTTTTTGTCCCTTCACTTTTAGCCGAACCGAAGAACTAAATCCAAGAAAGAACATCAGATCCAGTTTACGGAAGTATAAGATCTTCCCACGTCATACGGCCATTTAATTCAATCTCAATTGAATGGCTCGTATGCTTCAATCGCTGCGGCGAGCCTTGGGACTGACTTCTCCCAAGCCAGTCCCTACGTTCCGTAGGTCTATCGATACGGACTTCTCCGTCTTTCGAGGTATGCTTCTTCTCCACGGTTCCGTCGCATTGTTGCGCTTATCATTAATAACCAAACTTGAACGATTAGAGGGAGACCGAGCAATTATCCATGGCAAAACCCCATCGTTAACGAAACCCCTGCAACCGGGTCAGAAAACAGACCTCCGGCGTGGGTACCTGGAGCACAGCAACATCATCGGCCGGCGAGTCCGCGAGCGAATTCAGGCCCAGAAAGGTCAGCATAATATCAATTGGTCGAAGGGACATGAAAGGAAAAATCGAAGTCTAACATCATTTCCCCACCCGAGCACAGGCCCCGAATATCGACTCACTCTCCCTACGCTGGACGAATATGTCGTCCTGACGCCTCGCTTGGTAACACCGGTATGGATGCGATTCTTCACCATTGATAGCCCCGCTGCGTGCCTAGATGGTTAATACTGTGCCGATAGATCTACGCCGCGGACGCCAATCTCATTGTCTCCTTACTCGATATCCACGTAGCACCTCCAGCAGAAGGAGAAGAACACACTCAACAGCCTCTCGAAATCCTCGAATCCGGAACCGGCCATGGTTCCCTAACACTGCACCTGGCACGCGCAATCCAAGCTGCAAACCCAACACCCCCGCCGCTACCAGCTCAATCCCAAATCCAATACCTACAAGGCCGGCCCGTACGACCGGACGAGAAACCAGAAGAAAAGAAAAAAGAAAGTGCACCCAATAACGAAACAGCCATCGACCCAACCCAACAACAATGGGATGCATGGCGCACTCAACGCAGAGCCATAATCCACACCGTGGACGTATCTCCCAAATTCTCCGCCCACGCTGAGAAAATCGTCCGTGGCTTCCGACGTGGTCTCTACGCAGGAAACGTCGATTTCTACGTAGGCCACGTCGAGAACTGGATAACAGAGCAGAAACGACGCCGCACCCCTACTAGTCTTCTACCCCTAACGCAGAAAACGGCCGACCCATTCCTCTCGTATGCGATCCTGGATATGCCAGCCGCGCACCAGCGCATCACCCACGTGGCCCCGATCCTGAAAGAAAACGGCGTGCTCGCTGTCTTCATGCCCAGCATCACACAGATCGGGGATTGTGTAGATCTGATCCGTCGGCAGCAGTTGCCATTCATCCTAGAGAAGGTCGTTGAGCTCGGTGCCGGCATCAGTAGCGGACGTCAATGGGACGTCCGCTTTGCGGTGAAAAAGTCTCGCGCGGATCCCTCGTCGTGGAATGAGTACTCTGAAACGAGCGAAGGGGCTGTCCAGCAAGATCGGGAGGCTCTTGACGACGGTTCCGTGGAGAGCATCTCTACCCCTGGGGAAGCGCCCAAGGAAGAAGATAGTGTGCTTGTTTGTCGGCCGAAGGTCGGTTCCCGTATAGTGGGCGGAGGGTTTGTTGGGATCTGGAGACGGATAGAGGATTCCCAGAAACAGTGAATCGCTTTTAGTTTGGATACCCCCATTATTTGTAACATCAACCACTACTGTATTATATCCAAGAGTCATGTATAGATAGACGCATCTACTTCCTTCAACAAGATTATTTCCTCTATGCTTGACTGCTAGCAATATCTCGAGTATAAATCGAACCACGGTTTAATATATCAAGATAAATTTACCTCGCCATCGAGCATCCACAGTACACTTATAGTCAGTCCTCTGCTCACCTGGAGACGCTGTGCAAGACCTCAGGGCTATATGAAAACAAGCGACCAAAGATAAATCCACCATTCGCCTAAGAAGAAATCATAGCAAAGCAGAGAAACATCTTCATGACCCAACTACTCCAAGCCAGGTGACCTTCAGCCCCCTCAACACCAAGTATGGAAGAAAAAGCCACAGATGTGAGTAGAAATTCGACATGAGGGAAAGAGTAAGATCCTAGCACATGTAATGAGAAAGATATGAAACTGCCGCGCCGTTGAAAGCTACTTTCCAAGAAAATGATACGCAGGTTCGATTGCACGAACGCCCTCTGGCGACAGCAATGACAACAGATAAGACTCACAAGAATGTTTAAAAAAAGGAAATGAGAAAAGCAAAAGCAGTAGACGAACACCACAGACACGCGAAAAGCCCCCAAAGATTCCGAGATAACAAGATAAACCGGCTACGCAAACACCAGTCTCGTAAGATTCAGCATGCACCATCCCTCAATTCCGTTGCGGTCCAAAATCCGCCTCCACAACCTTCCCCTTTTTCCCTTTAACAACAAACTCCGCAAACAATGCGATATGATCACTAGGAAAATGAAAGTTAGGGAACCCGGGAACCTTCTGTAGATAGTCCTTGTCCACCTCGCCGAGTAACGCCGAAACATGAAGCGTATTCGATGTAAACCAGATATAATCCAGAATATCCTTAAAATCAGGTGTATAATTCGTGAAACTCAACTCGCCGATCGAGTTGTATGCGGATTTCAACTTGAACGGATGGGTCATACCAACCCGACTCAAGTTTCCATAAAGTCGCTTCTCGAGATCCGGATGCTCTTCCGATAGCCGTCCATTAGCAATCAGGTTGTACGCCGCTGACCCAGGCGATGAGTTGAAATCTCCGCACATGAAAAGAGGGATTTGATCGCCGCTGCTATACTCCATGGATGGAGCGGGTTCCGGTGGAGTTTGCGCTTCACCACCTTCCGCTTCTGAAAAGCGGAACGCCGCCTTGTCCATGCACGCAGGCCATTTTGCGTAGGTCTCGGAGAGCTTCGTGATCTCTTCCATGAGAATAGCTGTCTGGATCAACTTGACATCCTTGAAAGCTGGGTCCCAATAGAGATGAGCATTCACGACGATGAATCGCGAGCCTGTTAGCCTGTTTTCAAGGAATACAACAACTGCAATGTGATCCTTCTGCCATAATCTGTTGTATATGTCATCCTGGCCCTTCGCATCAGGTCTCCGTACTGCCGTCTGGCCAAAGTTGATCATCTGCTTGTCAAGAAGAATAAACTTGGTCCCCTTGAAGAAGGTGGCACAGCCATCGACAGACTTGGCTTCTTCCTCCTGCATACCCATGGCTCTTCCTCGTGGCCAATATACACCCTTGTAACCATTGTAAGCCAATTGTTCTCTGAAATAACCGTTGTAGCTGCCTTGATCTACTTCTTGCAGACAAACAATATCCGAGTCATGCGACCTTAGCTCGCTAAGGATGAGATCCCTTCTAAACTCCCATGACAGAGCACGAGAAGGAGTATATCCGAAGTGGGACTGTGTCGCAGATGAATCGCACAGTGCGTTGTGGGAAAGGACGGTGATCTTCTCAGTGGAGGTGCCCGCAGTCTCGTCAAGAATAACCCAATCTCTGTCCGGAGGTGGGGGGTTTTCTAAGGTACAATCGTTAGCATGGATGAAAACAAGAATCTTCATCAACATGACTGGATGGTTTCACAAACCTGGCATTTCTTCCCTCAGATACTTGATCAGGGCTCTGGTACCCTCCTTCATAATCTGAGACTTCAGAATATCGTTCAATGGGTTGCCCTCAATTCCTAAAGTGTCCAGCCGGTAGAGGTATCCCATTTCGTAAGGGAGCGTGCGAATATTGTTATCGAACAGGTAAAGCTTCTTCAGGCTCGTAAGCATGCCGATCTCCTCGGGAAGTTCGGTGAGGTCATTGCCCGAGAGATCCAGGTGTTCCAGTTTCCGAAGCTGGCCAATTGTCTGGGGTAGCGCCTTGAGTTTGTTGTGGTTTAGGTACAGCTCCTTCAGGAAATCGTAACTGAACAAAGACGTGGCGAGTGCACGGAGTCCTTGTCCTCCGAAATCGAGGGCATACCAGCCCTGGCGTGGGGATGCTTTTACTTTCGTCAGCCCATTCTTCACATCACCTCCATTCTCCTGGGGTTCAGGCTGACTGGGAGCGATCTGGATGCCCTTGGTCTGTTGAGCGACGGCCCGGGCATAGTAATGCGGGGAACTCGCCTGCCGCGATTCAGCGGCCAGCTGAAGCTGTTGTTGCCAATGTTCATTCATGGATTCATCGATATCTTCGTCAACGTTAGCATGAGCCCCGTTCTGCATGTGGCTCGGGGTGAAATGAGGAGTAGCGGCAGCCAACGCCCCGCTGGAGAAGTTGTGCTGGTGGTTGATATTGTGGGAGGCTTGATTGTGGTGTGTGTGATGATGAGCTTGCTGTGCAGGGTGAGGATGATGACTCTGGGATTGAAACTTCGGCATCTGCATGCCGAAGCGTTGGTGAGCCTGGCCGCCATTCATCAGAACATGCTGCCCTTGGTGCGTCTGACTGTACATGGTGAATGGATTGAGCGCAGCTGCCTGGCCAAGAGGAGGGGATCGTGAAGGCGATGGTGTGTCGTGGCTAAATTTCAGTCTTCCTGTCGGAGAATTCGTCCCGTTCCGGACAAGGTGTCGTTGATGAGAAGGTTGTTGTTGTTGTTGCGTTTGAAAGAAGAACTGCCCGGCCCCAGGCTGCTGGAACCTGTAGGTACCATCTGCCATTTACCGTGGCAGATGAGACCGTGAATTATTTGCTTGAGGGGGAGTTTCGGAGAAAGTGAGGGTCAGCGACGCTGGAGACAGCAGAGCAGTGGCAGGAGAGAGAGGAGTCGGGGACCGGGTTCGTTCTCTCCTTCTCTTCAACATGGGGTCCTGAAGCGGAACCGCCCCGAATTAAGGTGTCTCTCTGGAAATCACAACCGCAGCAATTCCACTATAAAATTGTCTGTTGTCAATTTCAGTCGCAACCGAAGATCTTGAAGCCTAACAGGTGACGTACGGTCGAATGATAGGGGCCGGCGTCGGACGAGCGAGTCACAGTAACAAGTGGGGGAGGCGGTCTAGCGAGAAGCCTGGAGCGGAGTTAAACAGCGGCCCCAAGGACAATGAGGTTGAATAGATTTGACGAACGGCACGTATAAATCGGTGAACAGATGTAACTGAGGCGCCAAAGGCTTGTGGAGATGAGTTCCTCATCGCTTTGACGCTGCAAAGTGCTTTGCATCCAAGGCGGGAGTCGCTGAGATCACGTGGCCCAGCATCCGAGGGCGTGATTCGCCGCCGCCGATCAGCCAAGACCGCTTTCAAGACGCCCGGATTTTGTTTCTTCTCAAAAGTGTCGCTTTCAGCCAAATCCACCCTCCCGGGGATCTGAAAAAAGGTCCACTGGCACTAACCTATATAGCACGTACTGTATCGTCCAGAAGACTTCCTTCGACTACTTCCTCTTGTATAAGAATCCATAGTTGTTAACGAAATTTGTTTTCTGAATCATTGACAGGATACATCATCGAACAATGACCTTTGTTGTTCCCGCTTCCATGGACCCTACTATGAAATATGGGAGTGTTTACCTCGATTATCCACTTCCACCCTGATACACAGTAGTAGGGTGGAACGGGCTTGATAGCTGCGTTGCCCCCAATGTATCCTTTCTACCCAACCAGCTCTACCTTTCAAGCTGATACTACAAGGTATTTTCAGTCACGCATGATTTAAAAACAAAAAAAAACAGATATGGTTTTACCAAATAATGCCTACTAGTCGGGGCTATAATGAAGCATGGTGTTTTTGATCTCCGTCTCCAAACAAAGGATGGAGTCAACTGCAACCATATTGTGTGACCTTTCCTTTCAAAATATGCAGCTAAATCAGCAAGACTCAAACGCTGGCTTGGTACCAATACCCAATGAAAAGGGCCACCCTTTGTTGGTCGTGGTGGTTGCCTTTGAAATTGGGTTGTCCTTTATTTCTTGAATGACAGATATACCACATTTCATTCTATATTTAGCGTGCCTCATGTTCCTGCGTTCATGTCACAAGCAGACAGTTGATGCTGGGCCAAGAGTCAGCCTCCAAATGCGGTTGAGTCCGAAATGGTTCCACAATCACCTTATGACCTATATAGGTATTCTAGCACTGAAGGTATTCCAAAATAACGGTATGGAAGATTGTACACTCGGGGGTTAGCAATTGAGTTCTACTTTGAAATATCTCTTTCTATCAAAAAGTATATATATATATATATTCTGGTTAAAAGGGTACACAAGACTTGTCGACGTTCATTCCAACGTGCTTCATATTGCAACATAACAACCACACTAATTCCTGCCTAAACCAAGCCATGTTCATCTCTTCTGTGGCCAGCAATGTCCGTAATTTACTTACGCTGGAGCTTCTTGGTCACACATAAAACCCTCTCGGATGTCAAATGAAAATAATTTCAGTAGATATAAACTATATCCATCTCACTACCCTTGTTCTGCCGCACTCAAGAGAGCTTAGTGCTGAGTTAAGAGCGATAGCTTGATGCCAAGAAACGGCAGAGGATTGCAAGTATTGCATAACCGGTATAGAGCGGACTCTTATTTTTCCTTTGGCAGCTTCTCAAAGTCAATTGGGGGACAAGACCGTGTTGAGGTCCGAACGAGCCCCTCAATTCCTAGGACTCCGTACTTCTCTGCCTGAAACAACAACGTGATTTAGCCTGCCTCGATGCCCCCATTGCCAAAGTACCTAGGGCCTCAGGCCACCCAGTGACCCGTGCCAGCACGTGCATCGCAATTGTTCCCAGACCGGACCGCCACCCGAGATTCCCCATACGGTGGAAGTCCAATGAGGAGCACTCGGCGTATGGGGAATGTTGTCATCGATTGCTCCTCCGTGTCACTTTAGCCGTTCTCGAGCGTACTAACACTAAGCAAAATTTTGAATTTCATGGCTCTCGATATTCTAGAACCACTTTGCATCAACATCGGAGAGCAATAAACGAATCGTTTCCACCTTCCAAGAAAAAGAAAGAAGAAACCGTTCGCCTATGCTTCCTTCTTGTATTTTTGATTTATTCTCTTTCCCCTCTCTTATTCTACCGAATTCTCCACAGCTAATCAAAGTAGCTGTAATTAGTTAGGGGCCACTATCAAAGTCTGTACCTACGTTAGCTTCCAGACCTCAACGGTGGTTGGGTGTTCGATTCAAAAATTTCGGTTTGGTGTGATGGTTCCACTGCGACCGATTTTCAAACCTATTCTCTGATCGTCAATTCTTGAACTATCACACGCATGACCTGACAGATATACTCCGTGAACTTTAAAAACTGATCACAGACCCAAAGGGGGGCTTGGGAGCTGAAACGAAAGATGAACTACTAGTTGTAAACAACAAGACACCCGGTGATCCATCCGTACGGCGGCGGTGGCGGGGTGGGTGCCCGGCTTTGCAGGAAGGCATTATGCAGGATTTCCGCCACTAGTGGACGGAGTATCGCGCTTCTCCGTTTGTAACAGTTGTATCCGTGGTGTGAGGCAAAAAAAAAAAAATAATAAAAAAAAAAGACGACCAGTCAGTCAAGAACCACCACCAATGCTTGCATCGGTTGACCGCCTCGGAAGAAATCATTAAGGCAGAAGAATGCGAGACCGAGACCTTCCGTAACCCAATATAGAGTAGTATTAAGTAGGCTCCGGTCGTTGTGGAGTGGACAGGCCGCTTTTAGGGGTCGTGGGACGGGACTTTGCCGTGGTTTTCCTGTCACGATGCTCTTTTTTTCTTGCCCCCCTCGCTCTCTTTTCGATCTCTCTTTCTCTCTCTTCCATGGACCATTCTCTGCGTCGGACTGCGTCCTGACATAGTTCTTTCCTTTCTTTCCCTCTTTGCACTTTCTCTTTCCCATTTCTAAGTGCCCTTGTATTCGGTTCCAACAATAATTGTACAATGCTTTGAACTACTGACTCCTGCTGTGCACGAGAATGCAAACCACCCCTGGCAGATCCACCTTAACGCTCGACCGATGAGAACGGGGATTTTGTTTCAGAAATGGATATGATGTCAGTCAGCACGGCGGCGTTCGCCCCCGCTGCAGCTTCTGGCTCCGACCTGCATTCGATCCTAGGCTCAACCGGTCCTACCAGAGCAGCGACGTCCACTTCCTCGCTCAATTCCCTGAATGACTACACGAACTATCCTCTGATCCGTCAGGGCGATCGCACGTACTTGCGCGACCCCGAAAGTCTGTACCCTTTACCATGCGATCTCCCGGAAATTCATCGCCAAACTCTGCGCTCTCTCATGCTGCTGCGCGTTTTCGGAGGCCCCTTCTGCAACCCATACTTTGCCGATCGCCCTCCCCAACGTGTCCTTGAGATCGCATGCGGTTCGGGTCTCTGGTCAAGCTTGTCTCATGACTATTTCGCCCGTCGCGGCGCTCGCAATGTTGCTTTCCACGGTATTGACCTCGTTTCCTTAGCGCCTGACTTGCGCAAAAAGGGTGTCAACTGGCAATTCAAGCGCCATGATCTACGGAAGCCTCGTTTGCCTTTCCCAGACGATTATTTCGATTTTGTCTTCATTAAGGATGCGTCCATGTGCCCCTCCAGTCCAGCGCAGCAGGCGTCCGGCTTGAGCGAGCCGCTGCGAGTTCTCAAACCGGGCGGCGTCCTGGAAGTATGGGATTCCGATTCAGTGTTCCGATCATTGCTCCCTAATCCTGCGCCCGCTCGTAAATTAGCATCGAGGGAACAAGAAATTGCGGATGCGACCGCAACCTACACATTTTCGCCTGCCACACCATTCACACGAGTCCAGAACAAGTTCCTTCAAGACTACAACTCTTGGGCTGAGAAAGCATTCGACCATCGCAAACTCACTGCACTACCTTGTTCCACGATTGGACTTTCCTTCAACTCCGAGGTGGACGTCTTAGAGAAAGTGGATAGCCGCCGGATTGCTATACCACTAGGCGACTTACGGTGGGAACGAGAAAGCAAGGACTCTAACGGCGGCGCGCGCAAGCAATTAACGGCAGATCAAATGTCCATCCGGCGCACAGCTCTTTTGACCGTGATCCAGATGATCGAGGGCATGGAGCCTATCCTCATGGAGGCCAGCGGGAAGAGTAGAGATGAATGGGATAGGTGGTGGACAGCCATGATGGCCGATGTGTTCCAGAAAGGGGGCCTTGCAAATGGCGAATGTTTGGAAGTGAGTGCTTGGTGGGGTCAAAAGAAGGCCTAGCACAAAGAACTCATGGAATCGTCTGGTTTTTTTGGGTGGACGAGCAAAGAAAAAGCAGAAAAAGCAGAGCAGCCCGTTGCTCACTTCCTATTGGTGATACCCCATTTATGTTGATTTTCCATGTGTATACTTCGTTCCAGTCAAGGTGTGATGTCCAATTGCCTTACTGGCCCTAATTGCTTTCATAGCGCTGTTTCAACGTGCGATATCGCTTCAAGTAGTACCTGGTCGTTGTTTCGTTAGTATAGACGGTCATTGTTTCTCTTGACAATTGCATGATAGATGAATAATGATAATTGACTGGAAAAGGGCTGAAACCTGAGTCTTAAGCAAGCTAGTCTGTTGCCGTAGACTTGGTAGGATCGCTTGAATCGTAGACGTATGGTGATCGAAAGTTGTTGAAGGGGCTGACGTCAGGAAGCATAGGGTATGCGGGAAACTCACAGTGCTTCAATCTCTATAGCCCCGCAGGTAAGCCACACTCAAGTTATCACTCTCTTTTGGATAGTCATACCTTTCTTCACGAAATCCGCCCGTGCTATACCCTTCCGTATCTGCTCATCATCCCTCAAATGTGCCTGGCTGGCAAACGCCTTATGCAGTCTATTCCTGAAGTATTCATAACCCAGTGGATAGTTCCGCCCGAGAAAGAGTAACTCTGTCGTTCACAAGATCAGCGCAATTCAGCATGCATAGTAGATTGAATCGGGAGGCTCAAGTGAAGCAACTCTACAAACCTTTATAGATATTGATTACTTGCCGACGAAGTTCAGGATTCGTCATTGTTCACCCACTTGAGCCCGAAGAGATTGAAAATTAAGATGGAAGGAAGGGGGGCTGTGAAGGAGGAAGGTGTGAAGATGTGTTGAGGATGCGGGATAAATGGGCCGGACTTTATGTTTGCTTTACTTTGCTTTGGCCGAGACTACCCGGTGACGTCGTAGCACGGATAACAAAAGCAGCAAACATATTCATTGCAGGCTCTGGATCCAGTACATCTTTACTTTCTTGGTCATACCACTGGCGAAAGTTTACCTACCAGCTCGACATAACCCTAACTTTTGCTCAATGAAAGCTTGAAACATGCTAGAGCAGTGTGGGGGGCGAGTTCCTGAGCCGCAGTCCCTGAATTTATTTTCCGTCGCATGGACCAGTCAAGCTCACGGGGCCACCACGTTTGGGTCCTTGAGTGGCATATGGTAGAATATCGGATATCAGAAAAACATAGTGATTACAATATCATATGAGTCTTGGTTCCCACAGGGGATAGAAATATCCACTTCCACTACCGAACATTCTTTTTTCCATCTTTTCCGTTACGTCTTACAGCGGCAATACTATAGTTAAATATAAGCATAAAAGCCCACCACGACCAGGGACTGCTTGCTCTCAAAATTCAAAAATTCGCTTTGCATTTGCAAAACCTTACGAGGCACTTACTGGTAATTATTTCTATATCTTTTGTGCGATAACGTGAATCCCGCCTACATAAAGCTCTCTCTCATTGACACCTAAATATTTCAATTTGCGATTCGCATATACTGCAAGCCAACACTTCCTAGTGAATTGGAAGATTCAAAAACTTCGTGCCCGGGGAGTATTTACTGAAGTAGACTAGATTGGTTACGGGTCTCCACGCAGCTGTTGGCGAAGTCCGCTCTATCTTTGAAGAACAGGATTCTAGAAGCAAAAGGAAAAATACTGTTTACAGTTCAGAATGAGTATTATGGAATAAAGAAAGGGAAGGGGAAGGGGTGCACGCGACCGGGATTTACGAGAGAATGGAGCAATGTCTCAATGAGGTCTTTGCCGCCGATATTTGACGTATGGGTGGATAAATTAATATATCCTACAGGACCAGCTCCTTGGCTATTAATCTCGACCGAGTCAGTTGCCCCTAGAGCTGAGGAACCTTAAACCAGACCCAGTCGTTCGGCGGCAAATGTGAAACACTGACTTCTCTCGCTTAGATCCATCTCAACAGCTATCACGACGACTACCGAGAACGCGTCACGACGATGAGGTGATCATTGCCGGATATGGTTGAAAAACCCTGACCGTTGTCCCTCATGGCATCGCTGGATCCTGACTATCACTGGAGACAATTGCAGCGCCAACCTAAGCGTTAGCCATCAATCAGGCCATGATGACCCCCCAACAGCTCCAAGAAGGATGTAATATGAATGGATACCAAGAGGATGTATACTATAAAAGCTAGAAAACCCCGAAGTCTACCACTGTGAAATAATGTGCAACCGCCATTATTCATTTTTGCATTCATTCATTCTTTCTTTCTTTCTTTAACATCTAGTCTTTCCTTTTACCTTGTCGCTCTTTCAATATGCGCTCTATCGTTCTGTCTGCCCTGGCGGCAGGCCTTGCACAAGCTTACACGGTGACAAATGTTGGGTTGTTCATGTTCAAAAACATCGATCCTCTGGTGGTCCCTGGCAAATACACCAGCCATATGCATAGTTTCTTTGGCTCCGATGCTATTACTGCCAGCACTAAAACATCTGAAGAGCTGCAAAAGGGCTGCTCCACAGCTAAGAACCCCAACGATTATTCGACTTACTGTAAGTATATTCGGTATCGCATGTGAATGCCGGTGCTTATGAATGCAATTAGGGGTTCCAACCCTCTACCATGTCGATGGTTCAAATTATACCGCAATCCCTATCTTCCGATTCAGCGCCTACTATGTCGACGTCAACAGTGCCGAGATTGCCATCCCCCAGAACATGAAACTTCTGGCAGGCAATGCCACTGCTACGTACCTGGACGGCGTGGATGGCAACGCTGGTATTCAATGGTTCTGTGATAGCCAGGCAGGAGAGGAGAAGGACGACGCAGCCTTCCCGACCGAGACGTGCAAGTACCATCTGCAGACTCTTCTCCTCTTTCCCGACTGTGCCAACCCAGACACCCTGGAGTATGCCTACTCGGCCAACCCCGATTGGGTGGATGGCTACGGCGAGAATCGATGCCCAATTGGCATGAAGCGTATCCCTCGTCTCCGGTTCTCCATTCGCTACGACTTGCGGAAGATCCTTCCAGACGGCTGGTCCGGTACCCCTCCATTGGAACTCGCCTGTGGCTCCTCATACTGCAGTCATGGAGATTTTATCAACGGATGGCTTCCAGAGGCCGCGGAGAACATGGTGAAGGACGCTTCCTCCAATGACCGCGAGTATTTCCAAGTCTCTGGTCCCAATGGAGCGGGTGATGAGGGTTCCTTGTGCGATGCGGAAGATGCCCAGGATAGTGATCCTACCCATGGTACCAGCGACTATTGGGAAAGTGTGAAGATGATGGGTATGAGCAAGAACTCGACCTTAGTGAGGTGGGGTTTGGCTCGTCGTCAATCTTAAGCCAGGTCTAAGCCTGAGAGGTTCGCCCACATTCAAACCAGAGCAGCTGCCTATCACATCTTCGAATGGATATTGCTGGCCGACATCCTGCTTTCCTGTTTTGTAAATACCTCCAACTATTGTCGCTCGCTTTGGTGAATAAATTATCAAGAAAATGCTTCGTGGTTTGAGTAACAATAGTAAATCCAGGAATATTTACACTATTTAACTTTTTGGGGACATTGAGAGTCTGGCCACTGCCGCATCTGAGTAAGTTAGCATATGTTTCTCACCCAATTGAGTTGTGTCAAAAAGAAAGCTCCAGAGTGTCGTGGTTCTATGATGTAGAATCAGTTCAGGGAACGGAAACGTGAACCAAGGAATACCTTCCGAACTGCATTACTGTGTATATTGGGGTTGAGGACCCACCCAACCTAGCCTTACTCCACTCCTCCTATAGCCGGAGTTGCAGCCGGAGCATCTCGAAACATCTCCAACCACTACATATCGACGCTCAATTGCTCAACAATGACCCCAATTCGTGCATTCAGGAGGCAGGGCTTTACTGTACTTACTTCAGAATACTCGCGCCTCTGCACTCGTGCCTTATCAACATCAGCCCCCGCAGCACGAAATGCCGAATCATCCAAAACTGCCACCCCCCAACCCCACAGGATCGATCCCCGATGGCTTACCATGACGAAGAGGAGATTGGGCAGATGCATGATGTTTGGTCTAAAGCCGATACACGTCCAAGAAGCCGGAGAGATACTGCAACAAATTGCGAGAGATTGGCGTGAATTGATCGCTGGAAGCGAAGGTTACTTAACAGATGCGACAAGAAGGGGCCTGTTCCGGCAGAGCGTTGCTTGGGGAGAGATGGTAGGGCAAATTTATCTTCTACCTGGCATAATGTAGCGGTGCTAATGCAGAACTTTTGTGTGGATCACAGGATACCATGGTAAGTTGATAGCGTCCATATCTGAAACTAGGCGACTATTCGGCACATTTAGCTGACTGCTTATCAAGGGTATGTATAAGCATTCTACTCTCGGAGCCTCAATAGTGTCCTCTTCATCGCAATTCCCAGCTCCTAATCATTCTACTCAGGCCATGTTAATAATGTCACCTACGTCCGATACGCCGAAACTGGACGGGTATACATGACTCGCAACTTTGCCACACATATAGATCCTGCTCATAAGAAAGAGTGGATGAATATTGTCGGAAATACCGGGATTGGGATCATTCTGAGGAGCATCAAGATCGATTACAAATTCGTGCGACCCTCCTCAACCCCAAGTACGACATCATGTTTGCTAATAGATAGGGTCTCCCCTGTAGCCCATGAAATACCCCGACGAGGTCACTGTCTACCATAAAGTCGCACATGACCCATCTTCTCCTCATTCGCACAAAGACGCATTTCAACTGCAGGCCGTAATCATATCAGAAGCGAAGCAACGACCAGCTGCCCGTGTCCATGAAGACCTGGTAATATACGATTATAAGCGGGGAAAGAAGGCCGAGATGCCACCATTCATGCTGGAGCAATTCAGATCCACCTGGGAGCTTCAAGAGAAGGCAAAGAAATTCTGGCAGCAGCAGATCCTCGATATCGAAGCAAGGGTGCGAACTTTGGAAATGGAGAGTTGGGATCGCGAGGACGCCGTCGAAGATACAGGGTCCGCAAAGAAATAGATCTTCCCCTGACTTGATGTGGAGTGGAGAGGACACATGTTTAAATTGACCGCCCATACAGTACCTTGCTTATACTTCAGCAGATATATGTACGCAACCGCCGTCCACATGGACCCTGCGTATATATTAGGTATTGTCACTTTGTATCGTATCGTACGTACAGGGGAACCACAGGTATGCATCGGAAACGATTACCACGATACAAGATCCGTAATCTATCTTCTTCAGGTGGCGGTGTTCTTTCCGAGCCAAGAAAAAGCTTGCTCACCAAGTGGCCCAGTCAGTACTAAGGCCTCGGTATTCTACTAAGGCCCCTGTGGCCTCCCTTATATGACCAATCTCGTGCAAGTGAGAAGGGAGAAAAATCTCTGTACAAAAAGCTCCCCCAAAACCATCGACCATTCACTTACTAGTCCCCTTTACGTACTCTCGCCTCTAACATCAAAAACACTATAATACTAGCGTTCGGCCCAGCCCCGGCCCTTGGCTCGGGCTCAAGCCGAATAAAGTCCCATTTCCTCTCAGGGACGCCCATTGATTGGTCACATTGGGAGGAATTTTATCTATTAGCATATAGAAACACATGTGCCAATGGCCGGCTGTGATGCCTGAAAGCAGAATTTTTGCATCGTATGATAGTGGTACTCGATTGGGAACAATGGGTCAAACTTTCGCAGTGGATGCGTTGGAGCATCTTGAGAGGGGGTGCATGCTGGAAACGTGATTCTGAGCCAGGGTTTCCTGGTCCTCAAATTATGAAATGATCGACAGCCTAAAGCTAGTCGCTAGATGAAAAGTCAAAACAATAAGTCTGCCACCGGTCAAAACAAATGTACGGCTCTTGGCGTTTATTTAAACAGGTATGGAATGCGGTAGTGTTTTCTGTGCTCTTGATTATTGTATTGATGTGGCTGGATGGCTTGTGGCAATTTTATTTTTAACATGTTCTTAGAGTTATGAATTCGATGCTTGTCTTTTTTTTATTGTATTACGTGTGTAACTATCTTGCTAGTTATGCTGTCAGAAACTAGATCGGGGTCAGCCTACCATGGTATAAATATACCTGTGGCTACAATAGCCCCCATTGCTACATAACTAAATTGCTTCTATATTGAACGCTTAGTATATTACTTGATACATAAATTCCACAACTATAGTAATATTGACTATTTAGGATGCATATACCTCCCTCCAGTAAGGATACCATGATATCGGTTTCTTACAACCCCACGATTGTTGATATTCAGCATATTCCTCGTCTTGCGGGTCATTTTTTCTCACGTCATATTTCTACTACCCAGGTTCCTCCTTGAGTACAGGGCTAGTAAACCACTAAAAACCTCGACACTTAGTATGGCCCCTACAAATCGATCTATTTGCAGACCATAATACATACCGTTCCGACCAATACCAATGTCCGTCTTGGGGCCAGAAATGGAAAATTGGCCCCTATAAGCCTAACAATGGATATGATATCAAACAGATAGTAGCTGACTTGCTTCTTTTGTACTCGAGAGACTAGCGCCCTTTACAGGCCGTCAGATACTAGTGGTTGTCGAGATGATACTATGGTTCGTGTCCCGAATTGGGGGATGACTGCAGAATTGTATACAATATATACAATAGTGAATCATGGAGAGATGAAATTAACTGATAAAGAACATAGGGGAAGAATGCTGGGGCTAGAGTGTATTCCTGAGGTTGCAGAAATCGTCGCTGAACCTACGTAGCCCTGGTATGCAGCTTGTCTTTGCCGAGCATGCCTTTCCAAACGGCAAGTTTAAATACTTAACCTTGGGCCGATAAGTAGATTTACCTATCATGAAGAACTCAGCCGGATGTCTCCTTGAAAAAAGATATTCTCGTAGATAGGATATCTCTTCATTCTCAGATATCCAACACAGCAATAAAGCCACCAAAGGCGGGCCAATGACAATGAGTAAGTACGGACTGTATGTACAAATCAGAGCGGTATCAGTAAGTATCATCTGACGGTCGTAGTCTTTGCGGGGCGTAATGGCCCCCCATCGCGCCAACTATTGGTGGAAACGAGAACGAGCATCCCCTTCCGGGTATAGAACGTCGATCATCCTCAAAATTCCACCCTAATCCAACGAATAATAAAGATACCAAGACTGCCCTAAGATGCTTCACCTGACATACTGCATGCATGACTCTCCCTATGAAGCAAAGAAGAAGATTGGGGCAAGGCCACACACGACTCGGGGGAAAAAATTTGCGAAAACATGAACAGAGCGTTATCATATCTCGTTCACCCTTACAGAGGACACCAAGAGCTATGACACTATAGATGGTGGAGCTTTGCCAAATCCGAACGGACTGCCGATGGTATCGATTGTATGGTGGGTGTATGATGTTACCGAAGGATGCTACTTCACATTTTGGGCTAGAGGTAAAAGCAATAGGTATTGAATTAGGGCGTAAAGTAGTCTGCAGCACAAAACGAGATTGATTGGCGTTCAAAGTTAAATATTGGTCGAGAGATTTAAGTATACTAGATGACGATCTCAACAGCCATCCCCGCTGTGTTCACTCCTCTGACGGGAGGCTCTCTTGGCCCGATGATATGGTGGTACTGAAAGAGATAGAGAGAGCCGTTAAATACCAATGGAGATATCGGGAATGATCGCCTGCAATACACTAGCCATTCAATAAAGTTTATTCTGTATTAGACCTGGGGAACTATGTTAAAAACCTTGTGATACAGGATAACAGATGTCGGATTGTCGTCTTTGTACAGATTAATGCATATCCGCAAAACAGCATATTTTTGGACATATTTGGGTAGGACGAAAGATACCCAAGAGTTCTTTTATATCTCTTCTTCATACTGTATATCTTTATACCCTAGGATTCGGTCCTTGCACAACATACCACCGGCCAAGAGTGATCCATCCGTCTTGCCTGCCGAGACCGTAAGTTAGCCGAGCATTCCGCATGTGAAGCACAGTACAATTGCTACCCACGAAACAAAATCACTACTGTACAGCGCCGGAAAAAAAAAAAAGAAAAGAAAAGAAAAGAAAAGAAAAGAAAAGAAAAAAGGACAGCTGTTAGGAGGAAAAGATCTTGACGGCTGGTTGATCGGCAAAGCCGCACGCATGATTTCCTTACGCCGTTGTATGGAGTAGGCTCTTATTATCTAGCTTTAGGCTGTCCACCGTCATCAACAGATTATACGGTGATTCAACCCCGCAGGAGGCCACACATAAAGGAGATCGTCAGATCATCCTAGCTAATTATGCTACAACCCTAACCCGGGTGGATAAAATATGTGATGGATAATGGATATGTACGAGAGGTGAGGGGTTAAACAAAGCAATCGGAAGATCAAGGTGCACTTTCGACCTATATCATTGGCGTCAATATGGCCGTAGCCTGTACACGTAGCATCAGGCTTACGAGGCCACCCACAATTACAGTTTAAAATGAGTTTTGAGATCAGAACGTCCCTCGGATCTTCTCCATTGATATTGAAGAATAGTCGCTTGTTAACAACAAAGCGTCGTGTTATCGGTGCGTGAGAACCTCGGATGCGGTTCGGTGCTTGAAATCAATGCGGTGATTTTCAAAATTGTCATCCACGGCTTTGATTTAACTCACGGACCGAGCTTTGTTGCCATGAATCAGCATAAGCTGATGCAGCAGACCGGGGTTGATCTACAGGGCCGCTGACATTGGCAATATTCTGTCCCGGGTATGACTTTTAGTTACATCAATGTACTGGATATGAAGTGAGCGTTCGCTGATATGAAAGAGCCCACATGGGTATTATCACTAGGATCTCTAGAGACCGATGATGGGGTTAGTACTTGTGATTGAAGTAAAAGTACAGTTGTCCACCGGGGTTTACAGTGTGGTAGACGACGATACCACGTTCCTCGCGGACTTTTGCTTCGTATATAGATAGGTACAGTAAGAGCAATTAGATAGAAGATATCCGCGTGGCTGTTTGATTTCCATGGTTGATTGAGAGGTTCCATAAACAACTGAAATATAGGGTAGACCAAAAATAAACCACAGCGACCAACCAGATTCGATAGCTGGCACTGTAATGTATGGTAAGACCCTCTCTGATTTCGATACATACAAGCAGTGGATACATACCTTACATACTGGGGCCATTAGGTTGTGTTTTGAAGACGGAAAGGAAGATTCCTGAGGCATCGATAGGTGTTATGGTCGCCTTACTGCCTTATTCTCTTTCCTGACGATCAGTTCCAACCTTTCGTTTCGCCTTTTTCCCGCCTCGTCTATCCAGACCCAAAAGTCTACCAAACCTCATTCATTTTTCCTTCTCTTTTTACTCCCCCCGCCACGCCTTCTTACCCTCTCTTCTCCATATTCAATCCCAACTCCTCTTTTTTCTTTCCCTCTCCTTTCCTTTCTTACCGCAACCATTCCTCTCCTACCGCTTTTAGACCCCTCCCGTCATTCCTTTCCCTGCACACTTACTGCGTCGCCTCCCCTCTCTCTCTTCCTCCCTTTCTTTACCCGTGTATCTGATACTGTCTCGTCTTTACTCCCCGCCTGGTCCAAGTCCTTGGCTACCATCTGCCAAGCTGACTCGGACCTGGGTGTTAGGCTCCCTTTTCCATGCCACGTTCATCGGCTACGGCTAGGAAGAGTCATAGCAATCGGCATGAGAATGGCGCCGCCGGCTCCGGCAAGAAAGTGAACAAGCAAAAATCGAATGGACAACTGAATGGGAATGCCAACGGTAGCTCCGCACCAAGTTCGGGACCCTCCTCTCAAGTCGACTGGCCCTCGTCTCGCTCCAATAGCGATACGGCAATTACTTCCACGGTAGCGACGGCAACAAAGGCCAACGGTACGACGGAGTGCTCGAAGGCGGATGGCAACGGACGTGGTTATCTGAATGGATACGCCAAGGGCAACCCGGACATGTCTTACGGACAGGCGAATGGGGCGGTTCCGCAGAATGGTGGCCTTACCGGCCAGGCGTCGCGTCGTACGGAGAGTTCCAAGAGGTCAGGCTCGAACACCTCGATTAACCCCCTCCAACTGGCATCGACTATCCTCAAATCCTGTCCGATGTACGACACTATCGCCATTCTGATTTTCCTCCTTCAGTTGCCACCAATGGTCCTTACGCTGGTGCAGTTCTTGTTCGCTTCCCTGACCTTCATGCCTCCGGGCGGTGCGTCTGCCGGCTCTTTGACTTCCAATTTCGATATTTTTCAAGGTCCGGCCGGAACACCATCTCTCGGTACGATGATTGCAATGGATGGATTCTTCCTACTCTTCTGGGGTCTTTTCATGTGGACGTGGGCGCAAAATTTCGCCCTCGACTTAGCCCATGTTCAGGTCGCCATAACCCTAGGCGGAGGAGGGTCGGGGAAAAATGGGGGGGTAAATACCCTCTGTGTTGGTATTGTGCTTGTTTTGCATCTTATTCGAAGTAAAGGTATACAGGATTTTGTTATAGGTCATCTTCTCTCCGCGAAAGTTATCAGTCCCGATTTGCTGTCGCAATACTCTCATCTTATGCCTTCCGAGTTCCGGCGCGCTGAACCGCAATCTTCTCCGAGCTGGATCCGGAGTTTACTTGCGGTTCACATCCTAGCGCAAGCAGGAACCGCAATGGCTAGGCGTTCGATGGCTAAAAATAGGGCACCGGCTCCTCCTCGAACTGGAAAACGTGTTGATACCGAGGCGTCTGCTGGCTCGCAGACCCAAATCGATTCTGCGTTCGAGTCTGGGACCAGTGTATCTTCTTATATCGGTGCCGACGGACAGCTTATTACGCCAGCAACGCACAAGGATGGTAGGGATCGATTGATTTCGGCGAAGAAACGCAGGAGACAGGCAAACCAGGTTCGAAATCGCCAACCGTTTTGGGCTGCGCTTGCAAGCACGAAAGTGACGGTTATGCGGGAATACGAACATTCTAGGGCCTTATCGAAAACTGCGCGGGGCCTCACTATGACCGAGGAGGATCTTCAGGGTGTTTCTTTGGATGATGGCCTTGTTTGGATTACCGATGTTGATAGCTCCTCTATAAAGTTTGCGGCGGGCGATCTCGTCTCAGATGATGCTGGGGTTTCCGGTTCTTGCGAATCTGGACGGTTGGGCGAAGACACGGAACCTTTCTATGTTTGCGTCAACGGCGCACTTTGGGCGACAGTCACGATTTGCAAAGTTCAGGATGCAGCCAAAGGTTCAAGTGTAGTACATTGGCGTGGTGAGATATCTGGCCTCGCACCCAATTGTGCCTACACTTGCTCTTTTCTGCGAAGTGACACGGAGGAAGAGATCTGCGTCATGAGTGTGAAGACACCGATCGCAAATGACGCAGAACAAGGTGAGACAGCCTCCGTCAGCCGGGGAAACATCAGTAGTCTAACACTTGTCTCAGTAGTTTCCTCGGTCTCTACTCCGCCGCAGCCATCCTATCGACCATCGTCCCCAACGACCACACTGAAAAATTCCATCGTCAACGCTGAACTGAAACTCAATGAGAAGCGCACACGGTTGAGAAAGGCCAAGAACGACCATAAACTTGTCGTTTCGAAGATCAGGAAAGAGTTGGACAATTATAACCATCGTCTCCATAGTGGCACGGATGAAAATCGGCAGAAGCAGCGCTCTTTGCAATTGGAACGGAACATCAAGCAAACGGAAGAAGCTACCGCTGTTTTGGAGGTTCAGTTGGATAATTTGGAGAACATCCCAGAGGAGGAACTTGAAGAATGGTCGGCAGAAAAAGCAAAATACGAACATGAACTTGAGCTCTTTAATTCAGCCAAGGAAGATGTGGCTACTGCTCGATCGGCTGCTGCTCGTGAAGTGTCACAGCTGGAGTCTGATTTGACCTCTACTGTTCAGAGACGGGAACGTCTTCAGGGTCGCCGTACTAGGGTCAATGAGCAGTATGAGCGTATCGTCTCTGCTAACGCACAGGGACTCAACGAGAGAGAGCGTCGCGCTGCGGAACAGTTTGCTAGAGAGCAAGACCAGGCCAAACTCGAAGCGAATTTCAATGAACAGTTTGCGAGCATTAGCCAGTCGGTGCAGGAGTATCAGCTGCGCACCAACCAACTTTGGCAACAGTGTGTGGCTATCGAGCAAGCTCTCCAGCAGCAGCAGCAACAACAACAACAGATCCTCTTGGACTCGGCCCCGCTCACTCCCGAAGGCAATTTACCTGGTACCAACCCCCTCAGCGAGGCTCCCACCCTGTCCCTAGGCGCTTTGACGACGAGTGCGTCCAGCAACCGATCATTGCTTGGGCTTAGCTTCCCGCCTTTGAAGTCCAGCCCTCTGCAGCATGCTTCGTCCCCCATTGGTCCCACGTCATCCCACCCGACTAGTCCAACGCAGGCGCCGTCGTACTTGCAGCACTTCCCGGCCTCGCCTCTCATCAACACCGCTTCCCCCTTCGAATCGGACTTTATTCACCGTGACAGGTCTTTCTCCAACCGATCGGGCCACAGCAGTCTATATGGTTCTGATTTCTTTGATTCGAGCCGTCGCCCTCCCTTCCAGTTTGATCTGTCTGAGAAAGTTATCGATAAGAGAAGGAGTTCCGGTTCCGAAAGCAATGCTCCCAACTTGGGTTTGAGACCGATCTCTAGTCCATTCCCGAGGGCAGGTAGCCGTGCAAGTGGAAGCGGAAGTGGTGGAAGTGGTAGCGGCAGTGGTAGTCCCAGCTCTGCAACTGGAAAAGGCAATTAGGCTGTTAAGCATCCCCAGTGTAGTCGATATGCTGCTCGTTACGCCAAGTTCCTTGTGGTCCCCTTTCTGCTTGTGTTGATCGTCCGACATGGCGCTGAAGTCGTCTTGGTTTTCCCAGGCCATACTATATGTATCTAGCCCTGTGGCTTCATCCTGGTTTTACTTCGCCTGTGATCAATAAAATCGTGTATCCAGTGTAGCCTTCTGCTCCTATATTACGTGCGTATGTTGTGTTGCGTAGGTCATTACAGTAGTTCGGCGCAATTGTGACCGAACTTTCTGCCCTAAGCAGGCAGTATGTAATCATGATTGCTTGTTACAGCGGCTTTGCATCAGGTTCAGAGACTGTTCTATTATTCTATGGAAGGAAAGGCTCTACATGCCCTTCTGCGGTATACAACAATCACTGATGCCGCTAAGCTATCGCAAGCCGGATTCTACACGCAATTATTGTGTGCAAACCCGCGAAAGATCAGACGTCTAGTCGCCTCTATAATAAACTGCCGTTCGGCACCACCCGCAAGGTTTTGATCAGCGGGCCAACACTTTAGATGACGTGACTCCCTTCTAGTGCGACCTTTTCCTGCTTCAAACCTCTATATATACAGTTCAGCTCACCATCTTGCTAATTAGCTGTGGCTTTTCCATGCGCAATATCCTCTTCCTCCAGAATCGACAGAGCGCCGCCAACGAGACGGAAGCTTCCAGTGACCAGAGCCCGCGTCTCACCAATGTGACCGCTAATGTTCCTCACATATTCAACGGCCTCTTCAATTGAATAAAGTGCTACTACTTTTGTACTTGGGTCCAAGCTATGCCAGGTATCTGCCAGTTCTTTTTGTAATGTGAGGTTTCGAAGTACCTCTGGATCAGTGTTCCTGTCATCGAGATCTTTCAATGGAATCCTTTGTCAGTCTTGAGCTACACATCATATGGCGAATCATTAGCTACTAACCAACTTTATATGAGTGGCCTTTGTGAGTGATATTTGTGCAGAACAAGGCGTATTGGAAATCTGTCCTGAAGTCATCATATACAGTACGATGAACGCATTTGAGAAGCGAAATAGCATCCCTTGCTGACTGTTGGTTGAAAATGAGCACGCGAGGCAAGTTCCTGGAAGATAAGCACGATTAGAATATACTCTCCAAGTGAGACAGAGACGGCTGACTTCTCTTTCGAAACACGCCCAAACCAGGAACAGGCTACTTTCAGACTGTCTTCTGTGTGGGCTCCATCGAGATGCCAATACAGTTGGCCACTTGTGATTGTTTCGCATCTTCCTCTCCATGTAACTGTTTCGAGGCCTTCAACGAATGGCTTAGGGATACTTCCCTGTTCCTTATTGAAGGAGACTCCAAGCTTTTCTAGGGCAGTGTAAGCGAGCGCGATGGCCAAAGAAGCGTTCTTTCTCTGGAAATCTTCAGCTGGTTTGATGTCCACATCTCGAAGCGCTGGAGCAATCGTAACTGTGGCAAGCCGAGCTCCTTTCTCGCCCGCTCTTTCTTTGAGAACTTCCATGGCGTCGGGGACCTGCTCAACCGTGAAAGCAGGACACTTATTCTTGAATATCCCAGCTTTATGCCACGCTATCTTGTCAATGGTATTGCCGAGACTATTCACATGGTCTATTCCGAGAGTAGTGATTCCAGTAACAGCGGGCTGCACGATGACATTCGTTGAATCATCTTCACCTCCAACACCAACCTCATAAATCGCAACATCGACTCCTTCCCTCATGAAGACATGAAATGACATTAGGGTCAGAAACCGGAAATACCTTGGTTTGAGCGCAGGATCAAGGCCCTCTCGGAGGGCCGAGGATTCTAAAGCATCCCAAACCTCGAAGAAATACTTCGTGAACTTCTCCTCTGAGATTGGCTCCGAGTTGATTTGGATACGCTCACGAACCGTTACAAGATGAGGCGAGGTATAAAGCCCAACTTTACGTGGTACCCCGATCGATCTATTGTAAGACTGGAGGATGGAATTTACAAAGGCACATGTGCTACCTTTGCCTTTGGTGCCGGCGACATGAACTATGTTCAAGCGGTCGAAATCACTGGTCTGGTGCGGCAGTGGAATAAGTCTTTTGCTAACAGGAACCAGTTGAGGTACTTACATCGTATCCCACGCGCCTTACCCACTGCCGCATCTGCTCTAAAGGTGAGGCACCTGTCATCCGTCTCATTCCTTTCCGTTCCTGCAAGGCTTTATAGCCCGACTGTGTGGAATTCAGCTTCTCCATCGCATCCTATCTACAGTGAGCAAAACGCTATAACTCCGTGGGAAAAAAGAAAGCGCACATGATAGCTCGGCTTTTCATTTGCTACTGTCATTGCGTAAACTGGAATTGCACGTATACTGTCTGAATATGTCTGCCACCGCAAAGGCACAAGAAAGGCGATTGTCTGTCTCATAGAAGAGAGAAAAAAAAAGAGGGAAAGAAAGAAAGAAGAAACAAAAGGAGTAGGAAGCTAATACAGGTATAGTAGATATATCACTCACATAGCTCAGCGCTTGTAACTTCAGCCCCGGGCCTTTTCAGCTGCAGCCACCAGCTAATCTGCCCAAGCGATCAGATCTACATCTCCAGCTGAAACGAAGTCTCCATAGACCGACCGCCCATTCTTTCGCGTACCCTCACCACAACTTCCTTTCTTTATGCGATCCATTTTGCCATATATTATATATTTATGTCACTGTTAACATCCAGCAGTCATGGGCAAAGGCGTCGTCATCCGCAACACTATCTTTTTCGTACCAGCTCTTCCTAGATGGGTGTGCTCCATGAGCCCCATCAGTATGGTTCGCTACCGATTAGTGGGAATGCTAGACGCAGATCGTCCCTGGTGGGTGCCCGTGGACTCGGTTGATTTGTCGAATATATCGGAAGGGCCCAAGGCTAGTTCAGCTACCGAAATGGCGGTATCGATCGAATAAAATAGGGGGGAGGAGGCACGCGTCGGAATGGTTCCAAAGTATACTTTGGAGTAGGGTTTGCTATATTGTATTTGGAGTATGGAGTATATTTGAGCTATTATGGATATGACGTCAACCCCATGGATTATGCTGACCTTCTTCTGATGGGTGTGTATAGAATATCACTTTAATGTGCCAATGACCTTAGCTTTTAGGTACATTAAACCCAAGGAGATTGGTGATGGTCTCAGTTGTATCAGAATAATATACAGGATTGATATAGAAGGAAAATAATATATATATATATATATACAGTTAGTCAAACAAACATCATTCTCTCAGGTCATAGCATATAAACCCCCAAACGTTCGGAGCATGGAATCTGAGTCCATCTTGAAATCAAATATATATGTATATGTTTGGTCTCGTTCAGGCAGAAAGCGTATCGCTCTAAGACTCAGACATAGCTAATCCCGAGTGCAAGTCTAAATCTCGTGACCCATTTCCCAAAACCGGGTATTGGCATACGTTAGACATAGATCGGTGACGGAGTGCGCGTTAGCAATCGCCTCTGGACTCGTCAAATGCTCCGAAACAACTTTTACAACGGTCCCAACCACAATAGTGTGGTCATTAACTTCAATCGCCTTCGGATGAAGTTGGCATTCAAACACAAAAGGAATATCTGAGAGGGAATCCCCCTCCGGTGCATCCGCGGCCTTCTTTCTCCGGAGCAGGGGGAGTGGTCTGGTGGGAGCTTCCCCACCGGACGTAGAGGTATGCGGTACGAATTCGAACTCGCCTTTTCCACTTGCGATAGACAGGTTATGGTTGCCTTTGGAGAAATCCCGAGCAAGGATCGCTGTCGTTTGACCGGGGGCTAATAGATGAACAAGGAATCGTTTGGACGACTGAAGCGCGCTTAGTGTCTCGGATGGTCGTCGCACGTTAAAAGAGATAGCCGGCTCCGGGTTTAGTGTCACGGTATTGAATGATGAGACGGTCATTCCGCGGAAGGCTTTGTCGAGAGGTTCATGGGGGTCTGTGGCTGTGATGATGGCAACGGGGTAGGGCACTCGTCTCATGAGCAGGCGGACTTGGTCTGATAGGGAAAGTGTGGGATTCCCGGTATCAGGGATGTCATTTTCTCTGCTGGGTTGAGGCCGTGGACTTGGCGACGTCGCTTCAGCGCTGCTGATTGTTCTGCCAGAGTGCCATTGTTGTGTTCGGAGAGGCAGATAAGTAGTAGAGCCACATTGGAATCCTGGGCCGTAAAGAACAATTAGCAAGCAGTCATCGAATGACGAGGACACTCAAGCCCAACCTTTAAACCGGCCCACAATCCGGTTGACAGAAACCGCAGGCCGTGAGTATGGAAGCTTCATTCCGCCGGGTGAAGAGCGGATAAGCTCAAGGGCTCAAGGCACAACAGGTAACAAAACAGGAGATAAACCGGCGACAAAACCATGAAATTCCTCTAGAGTCATCATGAACCTCCAGAGAATATTGCTCCAAAAACGTTTCAATTGACGAGCATTCTTGCGAAATGCGCGACGAGACAACTGGAGAGAGACAAATGCTCAGGATTTCCCCGAAAAAGAAAAAGGCATCCCGTCGATGCTTACGTAACGACATCCAATCCGCCAAATTTCTTGAGAACCTCCGATAAACTGATCCCGCCGAACAGCCATTCCAGATTGATTCGAGCTCGACCTGATTTCCTATCCTCCCGGTCCGTTTCGATTCAATTCATCTGTTTCTTCCACCTGGCAATGACACTCAGCATCCCGCTCCGCCGCAGCGCGGTCACCGCTGCCCGAGTTCAGACCACCACTTTCATCTGTTCGCAATGCCGCCATGCGACTCTCCTTCGACGCCCTAAGCGTCCCTACACCTTCACTCAGCTCATCACCCTGTCGGATGGCAGCACCTTCACTCACCGTACGACGTCTCCCGCCCCCGTCTACCGCTCTACCCGTGACACGCGCAATTCCCTCCTGTGGAACCCGTCATCAAGCAAGTTGATGAATGTCGAGGAAGACGAGGCCGGTCGACTAGCAGCATTCAGAGCCAAATTTGGACGGAGCTGGGATGCGAATACCCCTACGGAGGCTGAAACAAACAAGACGGCTGAGCAGACGGATAAAGAGGCTGAGGCTGCGGCAAGAGCCGCTGCTGAAGAGGAAGAAGACGACAACCTGCTGGACTTGATCAGTTCGTTTGGTCAGGAGGAAGAGCAGCCATCAGGGAAGAAGAAGAACTGAGTTACGTCGGGACTATGGGGTGTTTCTGTATAATTTACTCATCGTTTATGGTCTACATCTTTTGAAGCTTTCATGTACAGTACATCATACCATTTGGTTGGGATTCCAGCATTGAGAGTTCGTGCCTCCAGGCTGCCTCTTCTACCTTCTCTCGATAGTTTTAGTAACTTGTGAAGTTTGTATGTGTGTGGATCACCGTTTATTGATCGCCCAGGGATTATTGGAGAAGCGAGGCGAGGTCATCAAGGGGGAGAAGTCATTTCGAATTAATTCCGAGTTACTGGTATCGATACATTGTAAACGCAGTAATTTTGACTGCAAAATTGAAGGAGACTGCCATAAATTCAGGGAAAAAGTCGTGCACCACACCACATTGTAAGAAGGACTGACATCAGTCGGTTGACTGATGAACATGATAAATGAGGAAGAAAGGAGACGGCGGCCTTCCTTTTGTTACAGGGCAATAAAAGGTCGTAGGGGTAACATGCGAGCACTTATGCTTCTTCCTCGGTCGCCGCGCTTGAGGCAGCTTCAGTAATTCCCTCTGGCGCCGACTCTGCGGGAGCATCCACTGCAGCCGGAGGAGCATAGAAGGGGTTACCTTCTTCGCCCGCGTCCAGTTGCAAGAGGAAGGTTTCCCAGAGCTCGATGAGCTGTAAAACAGAAGTATCAGTAACCAAAGAAGCCTCTTTATTAGGACTACGTTTACATACCTCCTTCTGGGCCTCGACAGCGCTTTCTAAGAAGGTTTCCACACCGGACTTGAAATCCTCCACCTTTTCCTTTTCAAATCGCTGCAGCTCATTCCGCATCAGCCTTCCCATATCCTCAAACAACAGCCTCGCCTGATGGACCTTGCGTTCCGCATCGGCCACATCGGCATTGACCTGATTTAGGCGGTCCTGCTGTGTCTTTCCTTGCCGGAGAAGCTTCTCTTGCGTATGCTTGCGTTTTTGCATTTCCGACTCGGCTGCATGCCAGCTGTGGAACGCTTTCTGCCGCTGAGAGAAGGCTGTCTTAACACTTCCAATCAGACGGAGATATTCGTCGATGGTGATTCCGAGCGTGAGGACATCCTGCTGGGCCTGGCGCTCATACAGTTCCTTTATGCGCAACTGTAGGTCTGAAAGTCCGTCAAGAGGGGATGAGAGGGCGGGAGATAGTTCAACAGCAGCCAGCGCATGGAGGGATGCCGAAAAGTCCCCGGCAGCTTCTGCTAGCCCCTTCCGTTGTGCAACTACAGTGTCAATGGATTTCATCAGAGCTTTCAGCTGATTCTCTAAGGCGTCCAAGTAAATCTTTCGATCGTGGAACCACTAAGGTGATGGTTAACCTGCCGACTCCACAAGACCTAATGAAGGCGGACTTACATCATCATGCTCAACAAACTTGGACCCTCCACCCACATTGATACCGAAGGAGCTAAACATACCCTTGCTCTGGCCCAGATCCGGCTCCCTATTCTCCTTGTTCTTGATATCTAAATTAAAAGTTTCGCTCTCGAGGAAAATTTTCAGGTCTCCGTCATGTTGAAGGATAGGATGCGCGGCAATTTTGTTAAGCATGCGCTCCAGTGCGGCCCTTCTGGATTCAACGAAATTAGTATCGAAACGGCCAACTGCCTGCTTCTCCGGAGGAGGAGGGACAACAACCCCAGGGTTGTTGTTATGCATTGAATTGTAAAGCCAAAGAAAGTCACGGTATCGGCGACTGACGGCAAACTCGGGCTGGCGATAGGCCTTAGAAGTTGTCTGGATCCAGTTTCAGCATATCAAAGCAGCTCAAACTCGTAAGCACAGACGGTCTACCTTAGTTCGGACTTGATAAACAATATGACTACTCGTTAGATCTCCCACTTTGTGCGGGTCACCGACAGTAATCTCAAAATTCGGTTTCGCTGCCTTCTCGATACTGATACTAGGCTCCGATTGCCTCTTTGAGCTGTCCGCGTCGCTTGGTGGTTGTACAGGGGGAGGGTTCCTAAAACCCGCCCCGTCTTCTTCAAGGTTCACAGAATCGACCATACCAGCACCACTAGACGTCTGAGACGCAGAAGATGTGGGCCGAACATTGCGCCCAGCAAATGCTTCCTTCTGAGGCGGTACAGGTGCTTGCTCGACCGCTGCAGGACTAGTTTCGTCGGCTTTGTCCCCGAGCGGGCCTAGCGGATCCAGGGTATCGTCAACTGCTTCCAATTTTGTCGCATGTGCGCTTATCTTGCGGACACCTCGCGGGCCGCGCCGTACGGGAGAACGAGGACTGGTCGAAGTGGTTTGTTGTGACGATTGTTCCCGGGCTGCGGGATGATGCGGTTAGGAGGTGGGCTGTTATAGGGATCTAGATTCTGGAAGGAACGCACTGGCATCTTCGTTTTCTGGTCTTGACGTACCGTGGTTGCCGGCGGACTGCGAAGGAACGTCTATACTTCGGGTTAGATATGTCGAATATGATGCGCTTGTATTGTTCGTGATTGCCTGCTTACCGCCCCACGGGGAGTCACCTGCGTCCAGATCCATGAGGGAATGATTGGGTGGGATTGCAATTGGTGGTGGAAGATTAAAGGGCGTGAATATTAATTGAAAATCGACAAGAAATCGTCGGTGGGGGGGGAATGAGGGAAATCGAGGTGATGTCCTGAGAGGAAGGCAGTTGATGTTGCTGGAGTCGGAGAAGCGACTAGTAAGTTTAAGTTGGACAGATGATCCGCGCCGTCACTGGGAAAAGGCCAACTTCGTCACCCGCCGGATTAGGGCTGCCTTCTCCCCCGCTCTGTCAATGCCTGAATCCACCTTTTTAGCTCCGTACATGTCAATTTAGATTTCATAGTTGGTATGGATGTACGATTCAATGTCTCGAAAGGGGATGCAATTGTGTTAGGTAATCAGCTATGTTAGCCTAGTTACTAACTACTAGTAACTAGTATGTAGTATGTAACGGGAGCTACTGCCAGGTGGTTGGGATATATTTAAGCATGGTTTTCCATATGCACATACTATGCATGCATCCCCCTCTATGCATTCTCGTCGACAGAAAGACTACTACTCCCTCGACAGGGATAAGATGCAGCAAAAACCGAGCTCCAATGTATATTCCAGTATGGGCTTATAAATCCTATAACGCTCTTTCACTACATATAGTTTCTTTACCCAACTTATCAAATCATCATCATAATGGTGGTATCTTCAAAATATAGCGTCTCAACTTAGTCGACTCGGACACGACTTCCCCAGGGTCCTCAATGACGGAAATCAAGCCCTTTGCATTAAGAACTCATCTATTCCTTAACCCATGGAATACCAAGTTTGTGCATCTCCACAGCAAGCTGGAACAGATAATCCAAACTTTCACACTGGGTCTTGGCTTTGGCAACATTATCTCCCCAGACGTAACTACACTACATGTTAGATTCGCACAACCGCCAAAAGAGGGATTGATCATCACTTACATTCCGTGTCTTCTCACAAGAACAGCGCAGGTGTCGGGGTTCTCCTCCATGGCCTTCTCCAAGCTTCCGGTGAGATCCTCCTCGAAGGCGGTGTTCTCAATAATCGGTATTCTCAGGGTATCAAAGAAACCCAACATGCCCTTGCCCTTGCCGCGAGGAATACCCTTGATCTGTTCAATGTTACTGATTTCGAAGTAGCCTCCGGGGCCCTTCTCACGCTCCACTAGAAGCGTCACCAAGACGGCCCATTGAGAGTGAGTGTGGATGCAGCAGCCAGCACCACGCTCAAAGGCCGCCAGGAACAGAGGAGTGCAGGCCGATGGCTTCAGGTCGAGTGGCTTGCGGATATATTTGCGCTCGGAGGGGGGATATTTGGGAGTGGGGAATTGGAGAACGAAGATGTTCTCTGGCTTCATTAATTCCTTCTGCACACCGGACGGCGCAATAAAGATGTGGTCATCGCGTCGAATGGAAGTCTACACTGGGTCAGTTTACATTGACTATTTCAACAACCGATACGAAATCGATCGCTTACGCCACCACCAGTGCCAGTGACCCATCCCCAGTTATAGAATTTGCGACAAAGTTCAGGGATCAAGTTGGAGGGGTGCTCGGGGTCGGTAGATTGGACCAAATGGTCATTGTTATTGCTCTCGACCTGTTGGGCCATGACGTGCTGACTGGTCAAGTGGGGTTTCAAAGGACGGGATGGATAGATTGGAGATGTCAGAGATAGACAAAGAAGGAGAAATGAACAAAGGGCCCTTGACTCAGATTGAAGAGGTAAGAGAATTGGAGTTGACACTCAGAACAATGTGGTCTGAAGTTTTGCAAAACAAGTGAGAAGGGGAAAAGAATGTCGGCGGGGAGAGGGGCAGCTTGAAGAACTCCATTTTTTTTTTTCTGGATATGGATAAATGAACTAGTAGCGGGAAGGAGATCGCGCAATCGGCATTTACAAGGATAGTAGACGTGATGTTTGGTTATTCCAAAAATTAAGAAAAGAAAACAAAAACAAAAACAAGAAAGAAAGAATATATTTATGTTAATTTTATTTTTTAATTGAGTGGATTGATTTCTCTCATTTGAGATGGTGACCAATATGAAAGGATGGAATAAATGGTTATGATGTACTACCAATGATATACAGTGACGCTAAGACCGTGACTACCAGGAAAAGAATGACGAGAGAGAAAAAAAGCAATGAAACGGTTCTTAGAATCAGTGGACACTGGACAGAACATTGGAGAATCTGTCACTAACCCTGTTTGGGCTGGTGGAACTTTACCCCAAGGGGCAAGCGGCAGCGGAAGAGGCCAGATTGAACTTAAGCTACCTTCCCAGCTTCATATAATCAACCTCCCCGACACTGGTCTTCTCTTTCTCCTCTTCTCTCTCTTCTTCCTTCCGTCGTGCGGTTAGTTTGTGGTACGCTCTCATCTTGACACTCTTTACCCCCTCCAACCTCTACGGAGGATCAATTGCTTGAACGTTTACTTATTTGTTTCTTTCTTTCCTAAAGCTACTACCGAGTCGGGATTCTTAGTTTGAGCGCCCGCTATAATTCATCATGCGTTTCAACGCAGCTGTTGCCTCCGCTTTGGTTTCTTCGGCCACTCTCATGGGCTATGCTCATGCTGAGGAGGCTGAGAAGAACCCCGAAGCTGCCTCTGTTGTAGAGAAGCCGACTTTCACCGTAAGTTATCCCCCGGTGTTTGTGCGCCCCGTCCCTGCGCGGCTTGCTGACAGCGCCTAGCCTACCACCCTCAAAGCTCCCTTCCTCGAGCAATTCACCGATGACTGGGAATCTCGGTGGACACCATCCCATGCGAAGAAGGATGACTCCCAAACGGAAGAGGACTGGGCCTATGTCGGTGAATGGTCCGTTGAGGAACCCACGGTCTTTAAGGGCATCGACGGAGACAAGGGTCTCGTCGTGAAGAACCCTGCTGCCCACCACGCTATCTCGGCGAAATTCCCCAAGAAGATTGATAACAAGGGCAAGACCTTGGTTGTTCAATATGAGGTCAAGCCGCAGAGTAAGCTTTGTCTCCACACAGCTTTTAAGCCTTCAGTGTCTAATCTACATCGTGGCAGACTCCCTCGTTTGCGGTGGTGCCTACCTCAAGCTCCTTCAGGAGAACAAGAAGCTCCACGCCGAGGAGTTCTCTAACGCCACCCCCTATGTGATCATGTTCGGTCCCGACAAGTGCGGTGCTACCAACAAGGTACGTTCTAGGAAATACTTCTACGCCACCTCTCTCTGAGTTGCGACTCATATATATCATCAGGTCCATTTCATCTTCCGCCACAAGAACCCCAAGACTGGCGAGTACGAGGAGAAGCACCTCAAGGCTCCTCCTGCTGCTCGCACCAACAAGGTCACTTCCTTGTACACCTTGATTGTCCGTCCCGACCAGTCTTTTCAGATCCTCATTGATGGTGAGGCCGTCAAGAACGGCACCTTGCTTGAGGACTTCAACCCTCCTGTCAACCCCGAGAAGGAGATCGATGACCCCAAGGATAAGAAGCCCGCCGACTGGGTTGACGATGTGAAGATTCCTGACCCTGAGGCCACCAAGCCTGAGGACTGGGATGAGGAAGCTCCCTACGAGATTGTTGACGAGGAAGCCACCAAGCCCGAGGACTGGCTTGAGGAGGAGCCCACCAGCATCCCCGACCCCGAGGCCGAGAAGCCTGAGGACTGGGATGATGAGGAGGATGGTGATTGGATTCCCCCCACTGTTCCCAACCCTAAGTGCAATGACGTCTCTGGATGTGGCCCCTGGAGCCCTCCGATGAAGAAGAACCCTGCCTACAAGGGCAAGTGGACTGCTCCTATGATCGACAACCCCGCCTACAAGGGCCCCTGGGCTCCCCGCAAGATCGCCAACCCGGCTTACTTCGAAGATAAGACCCCCTCCAACTTCGAGCCTATGGGCGCTGTGAGTATCTCTCCTATGGTTCTTTGTGTCTCGTATAGCTAATATTCCCTAGATTGGCTTTGAAATCTGGACTATGCAGAACGACATCCTGTTCGACAACATCTACATTGGCCACTCCGCCGAGGATGCTGAGCAGCTCCGCAAGGAGACCTTCGATGTCAAGCACCCCGTCGAAGTTGCCGAGGAGGAGGCCTCCAAGCCCAAGAAGGAGGAGACTGCTCCTGCCACCAGTGTTAGCTTCAAGGAAGACCCCGTCACTTTCGTCCGTGAGAAGGTCGACCACTTTGTTGGACTTGCCAAGCAGGACCCTGTGAATGCCGTTAAGCAAGCTCCTGAGGTCGCCGGTACTTTGGGAGCCCTGGTTCTCTCGATGGTCCTCATCATCGTGGGCGCCATCAAGGCCAGCACCCCCGCCCCTGCCCCTGTTAAGAAGGGCAAGGAGGCTGCAGGCGCTGCCAAGGAGAAGGCCAGCGAGGCTGTCAGCAGCTCTGCGGACACAGGCAAGGGCGGCGCTAGCAAGCGTACCACCCGTTCTTCTGCTCAGTAAAATTGTGCTATGATACCCGAGAGAGTGTGAGGACGAGCGTAGGAAGAAGCAAATAAAGTTAAACCCAGAAATTTTCAATTTTGATATCATACCCGACGTGTATTGCACGTTCAACCAGCGGTCTCCTGTGGTAAACGTTGAGGGAATCATACCACTTTTGATGAGATATGAGAGCATACAGATGGGGAACTGTTTCTGCTGGAGCTTGTAAAGTAGCCTTGTTCTTTAGCTTGAAAATCGTTACGGCTATCCCCAAAATATTCGCCGAATTTTCTTGTCTTTCGAATTAGGAATTCATAGGCCTTTTCGCCTCATCGTATACAAGTGCCTATGAACAATCAAGCTAAGACTTAGCACGGTTTCCTTTGTAGCAGTATAACAATTTGAAGCTGAGGGTCAATCCTTGATTTTTTATTCTCAAGATAGCAACCGGCCTTCTACCCTGCCTATGTTACAAAGAGATCCTGTGTCCAACAACGTCCCTAGCTGCTCTATGCTAAAATAAGTATACTTGGAACAGTATGCACATCACTGGCCATTGGAAAGAAGAAGATAGTCCGAATTATAAACGAAGAGAAAAAAAAAATATAATAATGGCTCCATGATGTTAGGCCTGATGAGATTAACTTCTTCATCACCAGACAACTTGAAAAACTTGGCTAACAATTGGGCTTGTGAGCTAGGCAAAGAGATACTTGATTGATAATACATATAGCGATGCTGATGGGTCAATAGACGTTTTCCGCAAGGTATCTGCATACGTTGAAGAATGAGTACTACTGAACATTCATACGGGTTATAAGATCAATCTACGTTTTATTCTCTCCATCCACTTCTTCTTCTCTTCGTCTTGTGGCGATTTCCAGAATTGAAATGATAGACTGAGACGTTTAATTCTGAATCTGGAAACCAGCAGACAGTGTCGAATGGTCTCCGGCAACCAAACACTATAGAATCATACTCCGCGGGGAAATCCATACTAGTACGATTAAACTTCTTTTGTCTGGTTGCATTGAATTCGGCAAGTAGCTCCTGATTGGAGGTAATGATTGGCCCGCAGCGCCGAGCAGCGTTATCGGTTGCCCTCGGCGATCGTATCGGGAAATCATCTGGGATCGATTCTCCAATACGGAGAACTTAGTACCGAACAGCATTTCTGTGGAAACTTCATGACTTTCGGATTCTAGATTCGGTCGAAAATACCGCCGCTTTGTGCTTTTTGAGCAGGTTGAGCCGTGGTCGGAGTAAGAAAGTGCGTACCCTGATCATCCCCAGAACAACTAAGCTTATTCACCATTGCGATAGCCAAATGAAAGTCATTTGAACAGGGGAATATATAGTACTAAACTGTTCAGTATGCATATATCCTCCCTCCAAAACAATTCTCAACACGAAGCTCAGTTGGACTTAGGATAGGAAGATTGCTGAAATACTCCATCTTCATCTCAATACCCTCCTAGAAATTATGATGGCGTTCTGATAGAGTTCGAGAGCTTTTAGCATGTATGCCGTTTAGAGACCAAACAACTGTCACATGGACTGTCATATTGCAGGAAGCTGAGCTGCAAAAGGTGCTCGGCGAGTAATCCGGGTGGGGGGTTGGTGCGTGCTCGGTGCGTGACCCGAAGTGCTCGGGAGCTCTCACGTGCAGCTCCTACAAAAGCGGCACCCGTATCGGACAGTCGGGGTATACTAGTATCATTCCTCTCCTCCTTGCTAACTGATTACTATTTATCACCTCTTCCCCCCCCTCAGTAGTCTATACTTTCATGCATCATCTTGCCCATTAATTGCTCCTCATTTTCTTTCTTCTCTACCTGTATATCCTCTTTTGATCTCTCTGTCACTATGGCCGCCCGCCGGTCTATTGCCCGTTCTCTCCCCACACTCCGTGCTGCGTCTCCCCGCACGAGTCTTGCCAACGCATCGTCTGCCAGGTCAGCAACATCACGTTCTCTAATGACTGCCTCGATGTCTTCTTCTTCAGCTCTTGCTCGTCGAGCTTCTTCTGTAACTTCTTCCTCTCCCGCTTCCAACGTTGCTGCGCGCAGACTGCACGCCACCGCCCGCCAAATGACCCCCGCAACTACTTCCGCGGCTACTACCGCTACCGAGTACCCGACGGACCACAAGCAGATTGCGAACCCAATTGATACGGCCAACTTTCTGGACAACGAATTTGTTGCCTCTAAGGCTACGACTTGGATTGACCTCCATGACCCCGCAACCAACAACCTCGTCACTAGAGTCCCCCAAAGTACAGATGAGGAATTGCGGGCGGCAGTTGAGTCCGCCGAGAAGGCATTCCCAGCATGGCGGGCAATGAGCGTGATTGCCAGGCAGCAGATCATGTTCAAGTTCGTCAGTCTGATTCGTGCCAACTGGGACCGTCTCGCTGCGTCTATCACTCTCGAACAGGGCAAGACTTTTGCCGATGCCAAAGGTGATGTTCTCCGTGGCTTACAGGTTGCTGAGACCGCCTGTGGCATCACTACGCAGCTTACAGGAGAAGTGCTGGAAGTTGCTAAAGATATGGAGACCAGGAGCTACAGGGAGCCCCTGGGTGTTGTCGCAGCTATTTGCCCCTTCAGTAAGCGCCCCCTTGCATCATGGAGGATCCACCGCTCTTCTCTCCGAGGCTAACCGCTCCCCGCAGACTTCCCCGCAATGATTCCTCTTTGGTGCATCCCCATTGCTACCATCACCGGTAATTGTCTGATCCTTAAGCCGTCGGAGCGGGACCCTGGCGCTGCCATGATCTTGGCGGAGCTGGCTAAGGAGGCTGGCTTCCCCGCCGGTGTCGTCAACATCGTCCATGGTTCCGCGAGGACTGTTGACTTCATCATCGATGAGCCTGCCATCAAGGCGATCAGCTTTGTCGGTAGCAACCGTGCTGGCGAGTACATCTACACTCGGGGTTCTGCCAATGGCAAGCGTGTCCAGGCCAATCTGGGAGCCAAGAACCATGCCGCTGTCCTTCCCGACTGCAACAAGAACCACACCTTGAATGCTATCGTGGGAGCAGCTTTTGGTGCTGCTGGCCAGCGCTGCATGGCTTTGAGCACTGTGGTCATGGTTGGCGAGACCGAGGAATGGCTTCCTGAAATCGCCGAGCGTGCCAAGGCATTGAATGTCAACGGCGGATTTGAAGAGGGAGCCGATCTCGGCCCTGTTATTAGCCCTGAGAGCAAGAAGCGCATCGAAGATTTGATTGCCAGTGCAGAGAAAGAGGGCGCAAAGATCCTTCTGGACGGAAGGGGCTACAAGCCTGAGAAGTACCCCAACGGCAACTTTGTAAGTGAACCATTTCTCCACTTCACGGATGATGACGCCATTGCTGACATACCGTGCTTTTCAAGGTCGGTCCTACTATCATCACCGGTGTCACCCCTGAGATGACCTGCTACAAGGAAGAAATCTTCGGTCCTGTTCTGGTCTGTCTTAGCGTCCCTACTCTTGAGGATGCCATCGACCTCATCAACAAGAATGAATACGGCAACGGAGCTGCCATCTTCACTTGCTCCGGTTCTACTGCGTCACGTTTCCAGAAGGACATTGAGGCCGGACAAGTTGGCATCAATGTCCCCATCCCGGTCCCTCTCCCCATGTTCTCCTTCACTGGAAACAAGAAGAGTATTGCCGGCGGTGGAGCTAATACATTCTACGGCAAGCCTGGCTTGCAGTTCTACACTCAGCAGAAGACTGTGACGAGCTTGTGGCGGAGTGAGGATGCCGTCAGCACCAAGGCGCATGTTGTGATGCCCACTCACCACTAAATTGACCGTGAAGTACCAAAATAATGAAGTCTATTGAGTTTCAGGGGTTCTTTTGATGATACTTGTTCTCTTTTGAAGGAAAATTGTCACTGTCCTTCTATTCACATTTCGGCGATGAAGATACTATAAATATACCCTAAGGAATGCGGGTACTTGGTCTGCAATTACAGGCCAGTAGTACTCCAATCAGTGCCTGCCTTGCGGGATACTGGGCAGAATGATATCAATGCCATTACTTTGTACCACTGAGACTTTTGTACACTACAGTAGTGAACCAGTTAAGGATGTATGTGACTGTCTATTCCTTTTGGCAGGTACAGCTGTGGCTGATGTTCATGTGGAAGGGGATTAAACCCACGTCTCGGAGCCAAGTCCGATTTAGTCTGGACAATTGAAGGCTAATAATAAGGAAATTTATTCAACGCTAATGCAAATGATATCTACTATTCCCTGCGCTTGATGAAGGTGTACACAAAGCGGGCCATTTCATATTTGCCGTCCTTGGCAACGACAACACGGCGAGTGTAGTAGCGCTTTCCATCGATCACTTCGAAGCCCCAGATCTAAGGAGTCCAGGTTAGTATCTGCAATGATCTCGCACCAATGCGAAGGTATACGGAGCAGGGAGTACGCACTTGCTCAGCAGTCCAGCCACCGTTGCTGTCCAGGTTCTGCACAAAGCTCTGGAGGAAAAGACTCTCGCCCTCACCATATTCTTCACCAACGTTGTCGGCAACGAAGCCCTCAGTATCCGTTCCATCAGCCAGAACCTCGCCCTTCAAAAACTTCTTCACTTTCTCGTCATCGGTCTTGGTAGCAATTTCCACGTTAGGGCGGAACTTTCCATCGTCGCCCTTCGAGCCCCGAATCAAGCGGGATTGGCCTCTGACTTTGCCAAAGACGTGGTCATCATGCTCCCGTCCTTCCCAATCGGTGATACGGTGTTCGGTTGTGCCGGGGATACCTCCGGTGACCGTTTGGTCGATGTTGACGTGCAGGACCTTGGGGTCCTTCTCGTCGGCGTATTGGTGGACCGTGAGGGTGACGGTTGCGATGTTCAGAGCCTTACGCTTCATCCAGCCCATTCCTTGCTATTCACGACAACGTCAGCAGTTTGCTTTAGTCAAGGCTAGTTTTGTCTTTGCTTGTGGGTAACTTACCAGGGCCAGAATGGGCTCAGTGGGGTTGGAGAGGGTTTTGTCCTAAGAACGTATAAGAGTTGAGGCCTATCACGGCGAAAGTCTCCTTGAACTCTGAGTGTCCAAGAATTAGATTAGAAGGGTTTCTACATACCATCGTCCACTCTCCACTGAGGTCCTTGATAGTGATGTCTGCGGGGGCAGCCATGGTGATGCGGGGTAGGTTAGATAAGAGATAGGAGGAGTATACAAATCGATTTTAAAAAAAAGAAAAGATGGAGGTTAGCAGCAGTTAGTGCAAAGGAGGAGGATGCAGATAATAAGGATGAGAGGGAACTACTGGGGTAGTGAGAGGATATAAGGAGAGGGTGTTTAAATAGATTGAAGTCAGGGAAAGAGCAAGTCAAGTCACATTCATGTGCCTTTCCGGGCAGTTCCAGTCACGTCCTCCACAAAATACCGGATTAGGCATGACCTGCCCAGATTGTCAACCTCCGAGGCTGTAACCACGTGCATGTGTTCCCCTTCTACTACTACTAGTACGTTAATATAACATCTCGACGCCATGGCTGTTAACCCCCTACTGGTTGTCCTATGATGGTCAAGGAACCTGCTTGGCGCCAAATGCCAAACCAACGTTGAAACACAAATGCCTGTTTCAGCACGGAACGTCCCATAGGGTGGTGTCTTCGACTATCTGCATTTTTAATGGAGATATGACACAATCATCAAATCATGTGAAGTTGGAATGTCACCATAGTCATTACGTATTTGCGCATGCACTCCCTATATTGAAGACAAATTAATGAATGGGCCTCATTTGTTAATCGAATGGTTCAATGCCTCAGGCCCAAAAGGGCAATTGCCCCTTTCACGTGCCAACGCGGAGACCCACCGCAATTCGTCGTCGTTCCCATAGTTTACACTTAGTTTACAAGGAGTCCTTCCGAGATGCTCCAACCAAACACTCTGCACCCAGATCATGGCTTTCAATAAGAAATATGCGGGGCTTCCGGATCTGGTAAATTAATTCTTCCTCACGCGAGTATCGCCATGCTTGCATGTTTACCGTGTTTCTAACCACAATGGCTTTGGACATAGGACCTCGCGCCCGATATCTACGAGACCCCCGATTTGACCGATGAAGCGTCCACTGTACCGGTTAGCCACCACATCTGAACTACTAACATATGGAGTTGTCCTCTGACCATGTAACTATATAACTATCATATTCAGACTGCAACAATCCGGACCAATTCCAATTCAGATGATGATGCTGGCTCCAACCCCGATATTGACCGCCAAGGCATCAATGCGGACGAGGCGCGCGCTCACTTCCTCGGTGCTACCGTTGATGCGCGCGAAGTCAATTTCTCCGACAGTATCGCTACGAAACGGAAAGCGTATCGGAGCAAGAGTCGCCGACGCCAGAGAGACGAGAATGGTTTGGAAGAAGTAGGGGACCTCAGCGATAGCGAAGATGAAGGTTTGGACAGAAGACTTGCTCGCCTTCGCAGAGAAGTGGAGGAATTGAAGGATGAAATGGCTTCCCGCCAAACTGGATCAGGGTCCAATGAAACCCAGGCAGAGTACAAGGAAGGACTGGACGACGGAGTGCTAGAGTTGAGTCGGGCGTTGGATAATCTCTATGCCTCCTCCCGAAGCACATCCGGACCGCACTCGGCAGCCGCGATACTATCCAAGAAGATCTCTGAAACAGCCCCCGATGACCCGGACAAGCCCGATGGACCAAGTGAGAAGGCGGAGAAAAAGACAACTCCCCCTAATGCTCCATCTTCCGGTGTTCTGGCGCACGCTGCGGCCTTTGACGGCCGGCTGGCGCTTGTCGAGGCTGCGATGGGCATCTCCAGCTCCTCGAACCCCTTCATCGCTGATGGGAGCTCGGATGTACCACTCCAGCCCGTCTTACCGGCTCTAGACCACCTTACATCCCGTCTGACCACTCTAATGAACATCCTCGTCGGTCCGGCTCCTGTCTCGGCGGTCCCAACAATAGGTTCCGCTCCACCTTCGACGACAGTGTCGACACCTCATCTCGAAAATCTGTCGACCCGTGTGAGAAAGCTAACCGCCGACACCGAAGCCCTCGCATCCGCACGCAAGCGCGCTGTCGAAGCCGCCAAGGCCGCGCAAAATGCCCGCATCGCCTCCGCAGCTCTCGAACCCTCCGACATGTCCGTGTCCTCCTCATCCGCCACAGAGGTCGACCCCGCAGCGACCCAACGTGATGAGCAAGCCACGAAGATCCAAGCTCTCTACGCCACACTCCCAACCATCCAATCCCTCCACCCTATTCTTCCAAGCGTCCTGGAACGACTTCGCTCCCTCCGCGCCATCCACGCAGGCGCCGCTCAAGCCTCCGAATCCCTTGATGAGCTGGAACGACGCCAAGCAGATATGGCGCGGGAGATCGACCAATGGCGCGAGGGGCTGCATGTTGTCGAAGAAAGGATGAACCAGGGAGAGGCGGCTCTGAAGAGCAATATCGCGCTTGTTGAGCCCTGGGTGCGTGATCTGGAGGGTAGATTGGATCGGTTGGAAAGTAAGGAGGCATGATTGGTTGGGGCTTTGTTTGGAATGATGGAAATACCCAAGTTTTGCTTTAGGATTTTTCTAATGTTCATATTTGCATATAAAGCTGGCGGTATGCTTGCTGTACACCCTTGTCTCGCTCTAGATGTATTGCATTGTTGGTCGAATGGTATTTAGAGAATTCGGTCCACACATCGCTTTGACATATACGCTTTTAGCGCAAATACCCGCGCTAACTGCTACATTTCTAAGCAATAAGATGCGAAATAGAACACATATACTCTAATAATTTCACACTAATCAAAATAAGTACAGTACAATAAACCCCCCCAAAAAAAAAACACCCTAAACAGGAACCCGCCCCAGAATCTTAATCTTCGGATTCATCCTCAGCTCAACCCACCAACCCCGAGTAACAGCCCGACGAGCAAACTCCCGGCCAGCTCTCCAAACCCGAGCCCCATCTTCACCGACAAACTTCGTCAGAACCCGCTCCTCAACTACACCCATGGCCTCTTCACCAGGCCGAACGATCCTCAGCCCCGCGAACCCGTCAATAACATCCACAACTTCCCAATAATCTGGTCCAGAGAGAGATCGGACCTTCGCTTCTTCTTCTCCGGGTTCGATGAGGATGTAGTCGAACTGAGTCCAGAAGGAAGATGTGGCTTTGAGGGTTTCGTTTTCGGTTTTGTCGTATGTCCAGGTCGGGGTTGCATTGTCTGGTTGATTAGGCATTTCGAGGAACCGCGTGACGCCTGTTTGGCAGGCGAGGTTGCCTAGGTGGACGGAGATGATGGGTTTGGTGCTGTGGGCGTGGCTGTGGAGGGATTGGAGGGCGTGTGCACCTGGGTAGTTTGCGGAGGAGGCGGGGAGGAGGATGAAAGTTGAGCAGAGGAATGAGGCGAGGGTTGATAGGATCATGGCCAAAGAGAGAAGACGGTAGAGGAGGGATTTGGTCCGGTGTGTCCAGATGTAGGATGCTCCCAGGGCGGAGGCGGTGGTTAGTGAGGGGATAGTGTAAACGATGAAACGCCATTCTTTGTGAGGTTGGATGCTGTAGATTGCTATGAAGGTAAGTGATGGGATAAGCAGGTATGCTGCTGCGGATCGGGTTGATGGCTGGAATAGGGCGACTGGAAGCCCGACCAGATAGACTAAGGGGTTTAGTAGGAGGCGAGGGATGGCGTTGGTGAAGTAGAAGTGCCATGGATGCGTGCCCCAGGCAGATGATTGACCGTGGATGACATTGAATATGAAGGCTTCTAGCTCTGGCCATAGGGGATACTTTTGCCAGAAGAATGAATCCACAAGTACGGTAGATCCTAAGCCAAGGAGCAGGCCGAGTAGCCCGGCTGGGATTATCTCACGCTGGATGCCAATGCGTCCTGTAAGGAAAAGAAAGATGGTGTTGGTGGCAAGGAAGAGGGCCAGTTCCGAGCGGAAGATAATACCAGCCATGGTCAACAGGCACAGAGATAACCGACACCGGTTTCTATACGTCTTGGAGGTTGCTGATTGGGAATGATCCTGGAGGAGGTATCGCAGCGCTAGCGTAGATAACCCGAAAGCAAACATGTTGGACAGTGCCCGCGATGCATAGTAGAGGACATGGAATTGGCTTGCCTGGTAAAGCAAGTACCAGATCGCGGTAGTCTTTCCGAAAGCTCGTCGCAATCCGGATGCGAAGGAGAGCAAAGACAGAGCATTGAACAGGCCCAGAATGGCTCGTGCTGAGGTTACCCCGTTAGTCCAAGCGTTACAAAGCAGCTATACGAAGGCTTTAATACCGAGCAGTTGCCTATCAATCGTGTCATTCAACCAGATGAATGGCTGCGAGAATGCAGACAAAACGGCAGCTCCGACAAATGTCCGGGGCACAGCACCGGGGAAGGTGAAATGATCATAATTGGCGCGTAGAGCCTCAGCAACATGTTGAGTAGGGATGCCATATGTGAGAATATCATGAATGGCTTGAACATGGAAAGACTCCTCTACCTTGGTGTAGGGAGCCAGGTAAAGGTGGAGGAGTATGAGGGCTGGGATGGCGCCAAGAAGGAGTATGAAAGCTGATGGGAACAGTAGAGATTAGTAATAATTATATCGATGGGTGTTAAAACAAATCCTACCAGCATCAGCTTTCCCCATTGTGCCGCAATTGGAATTGGAGTTGTTGGTTAGAATAGAAGCATACGTAGACCAACTTAATCAGGCAGAAAACCGGGGACACTTTCCGGGAGCATTTAAATCACAGGCTGTTTATTAACGTCCTATCTGATAGCAGGTTAATCACAAAGGCGGATACAAAAGTTATAGCGAGAAGGTAGTTAGTTAGTTAGTTAGTAAACATAATTCAGTGCTTTCTAAGAGATCAAAGGACCCTCTTTAGTCGCGTTACTGCTAACTAAAGTACTATATCATATCAATAAATCCAGTCTTGGCTCCACGTTCCGTGTCCGCGGAACAAGCCATTTATCGTTATCGACGGACCAAAGACACCTCTCACCCTTTCTCCAAACCCACTCCGCAACCAACACACCAACACCACACTCCAAAATGTTCCTCTTCGGCCTCGGGCGCCTCGTCTACGTCGCCGTCCTAATAACAAATGCAATCGCAATCCTAAGCGAAGACCGCTTCCTCGCCAGAAGTACGTCGAGCCGATTACCTCTCTTTCCCCCCCTCCCTCCTCACAAGCAAAAGCGACCTCCCAGCTAATCAAGTAACCTCTATACAGTCGGATGGGGTCGCAGTCAAGCTGACCCTGCCTTCGGCACATCATACGACAGTACCAGTGTCAAGGCTAAAACGGTAGATCTGATCGCCAGTGTGCGGACTGTTATGCGAAGTATGTTGTCGATGTCCTACCTATCTATCTACCTGGCTGCCTGGCTAGGTGGTCTTTGTCTGGGATCATCTATATACATGATTTGGATCGAGTGTTAATGGTTTATCTGCGCGCTAGTACCCCTTATCGTCATAAACACTATAATTATTGTATATTCGATTATCCTCGGTTGAGCGACTGGTGCCTTTGTTTTGATTTCCTGCGGAGTATTTTTTTTTTTTCTTGATTGATTCTATTGCCGAGCGATCGACCGCACACCCTGCGAGCTAGCTAGAGGGAATGCAGTACTTACCGAAACACCCCATATCTCGAACTTCTCTGAATATCAAGTGCAGCGTTTGCCTTCACTGCCTGCTGCGGAGAGAAACGATGCACGAGCGCACGAGTCGCATGCAATGAAGCATATATGGATTTTTGGTAGCTGGGCAATGGAGGAGATTGCGGCGAACTGCACTCGAGAATGGGGCGGTTTCTGCTCCTGGTTGGCTGGGATGGGACGTTTGTGGCCTGGAAGTGGTGTTCTCGCATTGCAATGTGACTGACTATATGAGTAAATGGTTGTTTCTATAGAATATTTCTTTTCTTCTTTTACTGGGGTTTAGCGTGAAAATATGGATGTCCTGGAAAAGCTTCAAATGATACACTACATATGTATACCTGAATCCAAGTGGTTAGATGGTTTCGCTCGGCTCTTTGAAGGGCAATGAATATTCCACATCTAGTTTGCACCGAGATTCATGCACCGTGCTGGTTTCATACAACGCTGTCTATTTGTGTGGACATCCCCTGGAGTAATAGAACACGATATACATGGCGAAAGGATGGATGTGTGTGGCCCATCCTACCTACAGTACAGTAAAATGCTCTGCTGTTCTTTTCTTTTCAGAATTTGCACACCGTTCCCATAACCTGAACAGACCTGAACCCCTTGCCATAAATTGCCAGCTCATTTGAAAAGCAATGTCAAACAGAATGAACGCGCCAAACGCCTCGTTTGCCCAGCTATGTGACCCAGGCACGGGTATCACAAAGTTGATGAATCGAAAATATAGAGTGGTGGCTAAAACAACAAGCTAATAGATAGAATGCATCGTATGCGATAAGAAGCAAAAAAGCGCACGAAGGAGTAAAACATAACCGGTTCCTATGGTATCCTTGCCATAGGACGCGCGGGACTGTGAAATATGCCGCCGGAAGATCCATACAACCGGTATGAAGATAAAGGTGATGATACATCGAAATATGTACGGAAAACGCGCATTCTATGTGCAGAAAGATATCGCCGATACTTGTCGCCGAAATACCGGGACGAGAAGAAAGGCTCATGAAAGAATGCTAAATGACTTCTTCTTGAGACTGAAACTCCTCCATTTTCCATGGTGCCCGCTTCTGTCGTGTTTAGGGTCGTGTTTAGGATCTTTGAGTGTATCGCGCTCTTCGCCTAGTCCTGTATGCCTAGTATGTAAGCCATGAAACCCCGGAGATTGACCGTTGGGTAGTTGTTGCTGTGATTCGGAGGCCCCGTTTCTTGATGGTGGGTGTTCCGCAATAGGTGTTGCCGGAAGACCTGAGGATGGAACTCGATTCTCTTTATCTTTGCCAAGCCGATGGCTGAAGCTCTTGCTACCGCGCTTCAGACGGCTCAAGCCATGACTTGGCTTCTTGGTGTCATCGGGAGAATGCCGACGATCTTCCTCGGCCTTCGACGCCTTGCTCGCCTCGAGCGCAGCTCTGATTTCGGCATCCTCTCGTCGCTGTTCCCTGATTCTCGCTTCCTGTTCCTTCCGGCGTTGTTTCTCTTTTTCTTTCTCGCTTGCTTTTCGCTCCTTTTCCTCTTTGGCGCGTTCCTTTTTGAAATGAGAATCGCTCTTCTTCGGGCTGAGAGGAAGAGAATGCGTGTCCGGTATGGGGGGAACAGGCGGGATGCTAGATGCAGTAGTCGAAGGATCTGCGGATGCGCTTTCAGAGTCTGCATGTTCCGGGTGAGGGAACAAAGGAGGTGCAGTAGGGGCCCGTTGGAGATTGCTGAATCGGGCGGGTTCATTGGTCGAAGGTATCTGAGATGCGCTGTGAACATGGGCCAACCCTGGAGATAGGGGATGGCCATTCTGTTTTAAGATTGAGTCGTTTAAATCAGCGACGCCCGTGTTTAAGTCCAGGTTTTCCTGCTCTTGTTCTTTCATAACAGCCTCGAGCGTGGTCTCCTGATAAAATAGGACGTAGGCGCAGGCCAGACCTGGCCTGTCGCCAAAGAAATTACGGACATAGTTCTTGTCCACAGGCTCTACCATCTCATCGTCAAACAGCAACCATCCGCGATCCTGTGTTTTAATAATGGCGACATAGTGTCCATGATATGGCCCGCCACCAATATGTACCACCACTGCATATAGCTCGTACAAACGATCTGGGTCCTCCGCATCATCTGTCGTATTGAAAAGGCGAAGATGATAGGGATAGACAACTCTATGGAATAGCTTCTGAAGTCGTTGCAGGTCTTCGGTATATTTGAACCGTTTGAGGTGCAGAGCCAGAATCCGAGGCAGGCGCTTGATTTTCATCCTCTTTTCAGCCTCTTGAAGACCACCGCAGTTGTCGCAGTGGAACTTGTTTCTTTCGCAAAGCATCTCCTCTGCTGAGAACTTTCTCAAACACGACGTAACCGACGAGTGCTGTTCAAGATCTACCGACAGATCCAAGAAAACTTCGTCACGTTGCGAAACCTTCTCACAAGTTAAACACTGTGTTTCCGATGTCAGAGTCCCTTCAAATAATTCATGCACCCAGCGAGTAGTGTTGGGTGTTTTAGAGCCGGAGCTTCCCGATAGCTCAGTCGAGTCCGTGCCTTCAGCTGGGGGGAGACTCTTCTCTAATTCAGGTTGTTTAGATGCCTCTGCCTCCACGTTCGCAACAACTTCATTGAGAAGTAGGTTTAGGAATTCATGGGCGTCTTGGTGCATAGCAGTCCGAAACATTTCGTGTTCACGTCGGAGAACATCCAAGAAGTGCTGTGGTCGGATTATACCTATCCGCGACTGGCTTGCAACAACAGACTCGAAAAGGTCTTTCAATGACGTAAAGAGGGACTCTGACATTCCATAGCTGGTCGCGTTGTTCTTAGTCTCCAAGAGTGGTAGCGTTTGTAATGCCATTTTCTTCTTGTATTCGGGTGAGTCTTTGTCCTCTGGTTTTTGCGGCTGATTCGGAGGCGCTCCAGGGCGCTGGGCATTGGCAGCTTTCTGTTTCTCGGCCAGCGCCTCGGCTTCCAAGTTAGCGGCGAAGTTTTGATAGCGAAGAGTCTTTGCCAGCGCCGCTTCTAGACTCTCTATAGGTGTTCGGGTCGGGTAATTAACGACAGCCTCCCGAAAAGGAACGGAATAATATAGACACTGTAAGATCGAATTACAATAACTGGCGAGATAAGTGTCAGTAATGTGCACTTCTGAAACTGCAAGCTGCCCGAGGTCAGGTACACATCGACCTACCAGGTGTTACCGTACTAAAGATAGCAGACAACATTAGCACCATTATACATAGCATTCCAAGTACCGCGACACAGCCAAGACTCACATTTTCCATCCCAAAAAACTTGTCACTACCATCCTCGCGGATCGCACCCATATCCTGGAGCATCTTCTCTAAAGGGGTCACCGGGGGCACTGGTGGTTCTTTCTTCGCGGGAAGCGCCCCAACCGAGGGTGTGGGAGGTCCCTGGACAAATCGAGGATTAGCATTCAGTTGTCGTAGGGCAGATAGGAACATGGTCTGGCAGGGCTTTTCTTCTCGTCTCTTGTCTTTTTTCCTTTTTCCTTTTTTTCCCTTCTCTCTTTCCTTTCTTGCTTCTCTTGGTATGTCCTTCAACATACCATCAAGAAGAGACCATAGCACGATGGCGAAACGAGACAAAGGCCGGGAGGCAAACGAGGATAGAACCACTCACCACATCTCTGCGTAGACTCCTTAGAAACGACCCCATAATTGCCACAGAAGATCTTGACTCGCAATTTCAAGCTTCATCTGACGGTTTTAAAGAGAAGCCGACAGCAGGGCCGCTGGAGGGGCCGAACAGGCGTTGGTCAGACAACGCGCAAATGAATGAACGGACGATGCGACAGGCGGACAGGTAAGCGGCCAGGAGAAGAAAGGGACAATTGGATTGAATTTGGTAGATCTGATGGTAACCACTACGTAAGGTGACAAGGAACGGTGTGAGGCATAAGGTTTTCAAGGTCCGCAGAGCCGATGGAAGTGAAAGAAGCGCTGGAGAGTGTGAACAAGGAATGGGGCGGAATGTGAACGGGCGGCGGAATCGAGAGCTGTGGGGGCACCCCGTAAAGCACGCAGGGGAAATCCAGGCTAAGCTGGAACCTTAACAAGCGAGCAAACAAAGAGATCGATCAACGAATCTAGGTTCTAGAAATCTAGAAAGTAAAGAACCAAAAGACCATGTAAAGGGGAGGCGAAAGAGAAAGAGAGAGAGAGGGAGGGAGAGAGACACGAAGGGGGGTGTTGTGGAAAGAGGAGAGAGAATGAATGGGTCGGATATTGAAAATGGTAACTCAGATCGGTAAGGTAGTGACGGAGTTAAAGAACGAACGATTGATTACTGTTCAGCTTTATGACGGATGGTGCGCGGGCCCCAAGCCATTTGGGGCGACTTCGACGGGCGGACGTGTGGATTGGCGGTTGGGGAAAAATGAGGGGGGATCTTGAGGGATAAAATAAAACTCAATCTGTCTGGATTCTTCTTAGTAAAGTAAAGAGTTGTTGTTATTATTTCTGACCAGAATGCACAGCCATTATCCATCGTAACTGCACCTCTTCCCCATCCATTATCATTAAGGCAGGGAGTTTGAATCTGCTTTCATATTGGGTTCGGTACCTGAAAGTTCCTGTTCTGGAGGAGGCTTGTATGTATCGGAGTCGGTATTACTGGTTGTATGGGGCTTTGTCCGTACCGGTCGGGCTGTGTGTATCCATTGTATGTATGGATGTATGGATGTATGGATGTACCATATATCTGGCGGGAGGAACCAGTCATCTATGTATGGATTCACGGCTATCGATTCCTCTAGAACCATACAAAGAAAATTTTCACTGCAAAGGAACAAGGAAACACCGGTTAGAACATCTTAGTTTGCTCTTGACACAGTCTACAAAATGAAGGAACAACTTCCTTGGTTGCTATGGCCCCGTAACTAAATGTATGTAGGATGGTCTACAATCCCGACCCTCCTCCACAACCCATCAGCAAGAGAGTTTTCTAGAACCACAGGGACCTTGACACAATCATGGGTCAAGTGTTTCCTTTCGAAATAGGAACTATGATCGGGCAGAATCCGCCTTTTTTTAATTTTTGGTTGAGAAAGTTAAGTTCACCGTCATTGAAGCCCATGTCATGTATGGATGCCATGCGGCATTTTCAAACGCAAAAACCCAAACTCAATGAACGAGAAACTGTGTGGAGAGAACAGCTGGCCACCCCTTGGAACGCAAACCTCCGCTTAGAGCAAGCAAGTACTGTGCTACTAATAATAATGACTCGCATTATTACCGTCGCCAGGGTTGCATCGACATGAATCGGAGCGTTGATTACCAGGAATTTTATTCGTCACCAGCCCTTTGGCGATGGCTTGGCTCTCTTCCTTAAAAGACTTTTGCGGTTCTCTCTCTGCCTTGTACAACTGGGGAACCTGAGGGACCGAATCATCCGAAGGGTCATAATGTCATGCTCTGTCAGCCACCATGGATGATCTTTCGTGGTGTGACTGAAGACCCCAACGGCTTCATGGCGAAGGCACGGTTTGGTCCATAGTGAGCAAACGGGGGATAATTGTATGATATTAAGCTACCTCACCGCAGTGGGGGCGGGCCAGTGATGGAAGCGCTTTGTTCCTGGGCACCTCAACTAAAACCTAGGAATGGAAATAAGATCCCAGAACGTAGACTATGTGTATTTCCAATTTGGCTAGACTTAGTAGTAGTAGTAGTAGTAGTAGTAGTAGTAGTAGTAGAACTGCGATGGAATTGCAATCCTAGCCAGCCTGGTTGACCGCCCCATCGCAGAGAACCAGAATCTGGTTGTAATCTGGTTACTGTCTCTTTTATACATTACAGAACGGGTTTAACACATCCACGCGATACATCGGTAACATGTGGTATGTATTAGTATGGAATCACGCTACCGCAGAACCACGTGGAAGCAGCGGCCATGATAAGAATATTTACTTCTGTCCAATCGCATAATTTGTCGAGCCCCACCTTTCTCCTCACCCCAACATTGGAGATACTAGCGTCATACCGAGGAGGATTCCGGTTGTAATTGTTTCCAGACTTTCCGTCGCATTTCCGGTTACGGTCAAGACAATGCCCTATTCTGGTTAACCGTTGGATTATCGTTTTGATGCTCTATCAAATGACATGGATGATGCTGGAGAGTAAGATTGGGAGATAGACGAACAATACCACACAACGGACGACATCATACCTCATCCTATGTTACAGTGGTAGAAGTAAGACGCCACACACCCAGTCCAGTTTCGAGTAGTGCTAATCTCCCAGGAAATTCGTGTGGCTCATCCAAGCCCAGGCAGCATCGTACCGAAAGAATACTAGCACTGACCAATATGTGACACCAACAAATTAGATTTACTGGTAGTGTGATCCACGGAGACTCAGCACAAAGTTCATTGGATAACCCCACCCCTGAGCTCTCGACTAAACAACCGTGGGCGTTTACCTACTCCGTAAACAGTTGCTCTCACCCCCTCACGAGACATAGACTATGTGGGCTGACCGCTGCACCTATGGACGGAATCCCTGCCGTGGGGTGTGGCGGACAGTGGACAGAACAGCCACCTTGTAATGAACAGCTTGATCTTAATTCCAACAACCATCTATATCTGCAATGAGAGCTTAACTTGTGAGAAGCGTTGTCGATATTTTTGCTTAGCCATGTCGATGGAGTAAAGATATCCGAACGTTTTACCACTGTTCTCATGCACTAGTGCAATGCACCCGGGTAAGCCCCGTTTTCCGACTACTACTACTTCTACTACTATATATATCTGTCAGAGCCTCCTGCGTAGACAACCTGCTGGTGGCAGACGACAGGGTCGACAAAATGATCGATTGCGGCACATTGACGTTCTCCGCGATATTGCGATGGTAAAGCTTATTATTCTACGGGGTGATTATCTTACGTAGTATTTCCACGTAATGCTCACCCACCATCTGGATACTCTCCTGTCCGTTTTTGGCTCGACGATACGCCGCTTTTTGTTCGCTTTTGTGTCTGACGTTTGTCGTCAGCATTATAATCCAGCCTTTTTTTATAGGCCACATACCGCCTCAATTGCGTTTCCCCAGTTCTGTATGTAACCACGGATAAACCTAGGAAAAATAGTTTGTCGAATAAAAACACGTTGACCTTGGCCGAGACCCGCTACAACCTCTTCAAAAGTCAAAGTAAATAATCTGAACAAACGAGAAGTACAAGTATTTGATTTCTTCTGATTCGAGTATCTAGGTAGAAACGACTGGTAGGGAAAATGAGGCCGTTTTATAAAAGAAACTCATATAAAGGGCTTCAAGAAATAAAGGATCTAAGAGATAAAGAAATGGCAGCTTGCTAGTGTGTTTGAACGCTGACAATTAAAGGAAGGTCATGAAGATTCAGTGGTACTGTCTACAACATGGGAAGCATATGAAAAGCCTCAAACGGTCTTCCTTGGAAAATCGAACAATCTATAAAGCAAAATCAACGCCGACCACAATGGTTCACCGGATATATAAAATGCATAGTCCACGTCTTGAAGATCATCCATAGCCCCATTACCACGCACCCACAATACCAGCGATCGGAATATCAATACCAGTTGTGTAGGAGCTCGAGTCGCTGAGGAGGTACACATACGCTCCACCAAGCTCCCGTGGGTCGGCTAGACGAGGCATACCACCGTAGTATTGCATCTTGAGATCCCAGTCCGGAGACTTCTCAACATAGTATGTCATTGCGGTTCGAACGAACCCGGGAGAAATGCTGTTGACGCGGATGCCATGTTGGCTCCATTCCATGGCCAGAGTGTGACACATATTCCGAACTGCAGCCTTGGTCGCACCGTAAGGAGCAGAAGGAGCAGCCTGAAAGCAATGGTTAGCGATGCCCTTCGTTGAAGCGGCTGGGCCGAGCTGAACGCACCCTATTTGGTCGATAAGAAGTCATACTGGAAGTCATCACGATAGACCCCTTGATGCCAAGTTCGATGAATTTGCGTGCGACGATTTGAGCACAGAAGTATGCACCAAAGACCTGGAACCGTTAGCCCGCCCTCGTAAACTAGTCGTGGGGGAACACTCACATTGAGGTTGAACAGTTTATCCAATTGTTCACGGTCAAATTTGAGTGCAGGCTGATGCTTGGTCATTCCAGCGTTGGCCACCAAGCCATCGATCCGACCCGTTTCCTCAACCACTTTGTTGATAGCATTCTCGATACTTTCTTCGCTCGTTACATCGGTTTGAATATAGCGAATATTGCTGTATCTCTTTTGGAGTTCCGAAAAGTCCTCTCCAGGCTCCATCAGGTCGAGGGAGTATACGAGCTCGGCTGAGTTCGCGAGACAGACCTCCGCAATCCCCAACCCGATTCCGCGGTTGGCGCCGGTAATTGCGACTACTTTGTTCGCGAGGGTAATCTGCCAGCTGAAGTCTGAAGAAGGCATTGTGCTGAGATATGGCTGTGCTTCAGGCTTAGAAGCTGCAGCTGCAGCTGCAGCCGGAGCTGGAACATTCTCGGTCGCGGCGGGGGGCATGATGGTAATGGTAATGGTAATGAGGATCTGGAGGAGATGAAAACGAGGGAAGATCGGCTCTAGGTAAGATAAATCTGTAGATGAGGGGACAGAAAGAAATGTCCAAGTCCTTCAATATTTAAATCGAGAAGTGGAGGGGATGTTAACTGCCGATTATTCTTAGCGGCGTCATTTCTATCGGCCATGAGGGTGGGATGGAAAACTGCACCATAGCTCTTGACTTCGAGTCGAGGCATCTCGGATCGTGGAGCATCAAATAATAGCATTTAATTGATTAAGGCTACTTCTTTGACGTCACAGGACATAATGGCCGTTGGATGCAAGAGCTTTTGCCGACTCCAGTCTAACAAAACGGGCGGAGATGAGCATATGCTGGGGCATTTCCGAGGTGGGTCCCATCTGCCTCGTCGCGAGGCAAACCACATCGGGATAGAACCACCAAACCCTTTTCAGGTTTGAATCATGATCAAAGTTTGCGGGGAAGCCGTATCCGTTTTGCGGAGGTGGATTCAGGTCTCGCATTAGACTCTAAAAGGTATCACGGTTAGATTGTTCCCGAGGGCACAGACTATCGTGGAGAAGATGTCGCGTTCCCATGGGCTCGTCGATGGCCTGACTGCGGCACTTTGCTACAGCTGGTTTGGCCTGGTTATGCGACGTCTAACACTTGAGGGAAGTATAAATATCCCGTTGAAGGGTTTCGATGACTGTCTAGTCCAGGTTCAGGGGCATAGAAAGCTAGAACAGTTCACTGGTTGTGTCACCTTCTGTTCATCATTTCTCTGATTTCTCCACTCTCAGGGTAGTCCGCGCGGTACACCTTCTCAATGGCAGGCCATATCGACGTGGAGGGTAAGGAAGACCTTGCCTCCAAGGAAATCGAGAATATTGGCGAGGAGACTGTGCCACCATGCTCACCCGAGGAAGAGGCTGCCCTTGTGCGAAAGGTTGACCTGATGCTCCTGCCTACAATGTGGATCATGTACCTCCTATCGTACATGGATCGAACAAAGTATGTCGGCGCTGTACCCTTTTTAGACTTCGGGAGTAAAAGATCTTGTACTAATACCCATTTGCACATAGCATCGGAAATGCAAAGATCTCAGGGATGCAGGAAGACCTTAACCTAACATCAGACCAGTATTCGATTTGTCTGGTCGTCTTTTTCATCGGATACGTTGTCCTCGAGGTTCCTAGCAAGTAAGCAGCCATCCATTGTCTCAGATAACCTTTATGCTAACCTACTATCATCTCTGTAGTCTCATACTCAGTCGAACACGGCCCTCTTTGTTCCTTCCCGGAATTATGGTGATTTGGGGAACGCTGACATGTGTCATGGGTGTCGTGAAAGACTTTAAACACCTCGTTGTATTACGGGCATTGATAGGTACGAAGACTTTTTAATGGAGCGCTTCGATAAAAAAGACCATATACTCACCGCAACAGGTTGCGTTGAGTCTGGGTTTGCACCAGGCGTACTTCTTGTTATCTCTTCCTGGTACAAGAAAAGTGAACAATCGAAGCGATTTGGTGTCTATATCTCTGCCGCCGTATTGTCCGGTGCGTTTGGTGGATTAATAGCTGCCGGTATTGTCGGTGGCCTCGAAGGCGCACACGGTATCAGAGGGTGGCGATGGCTGTTTATTGTTGAGGGAGCTGCTACTGTAGGGTTCGCATTAATAAGTTTTTTTATACTTCCTGATTTCCCCGCCACAACCAAGCGTCTATCAGCAAGAGAGCGACAAATCGCCATTGCAAGATTGGAATCAGACAATGTCACAGCTATGACGGAGGATGGCGAACGACTGAGTCCATGGCAGGCTGTTCTGGGATCAGTTAAGGACTGGCGGACATGGATGTTTGTTATTGGATACATGGTAATTGGATTTACCCTGTAGCCTATTCTGCACAATACTGACAGATCTTCAGGTTATTGTTGGTGCCAGCACGCTTTCTTACTTCTACCCGACTCTGGTCAAAGGTCTTTTCGGCGACGCCTCCACCATGAGAATCAACTTCCTTACAATCCCCATCTATGCAGTGGCATTTGTCTGTACCGGCATCACAGCATATTTCAGTGATAAGATTCCTTTGTGGCGTGGTGTTGTCATTGCTGCCTGGCTGGCGTTCTCCCTTGCATGCTCGATTGCTGTTTGTGCGGTATACGACTATACTGCTCGATATGCTCTTCTTGTCCTCATGGCAGCCGGTCTGTGGGCAACCAATGGAGGTACACTTGCCTATGCCTCCTCGGCCTTCGCGGACATGCAGCCGCAGGTTAGAGGTGTCAGCCTAGCGCTGGTGAACGCGCTAGGGAACCTAGCCCAGATCTATGGTTCCGTATGTATTTGCCTACTAACCCATAGGCTAAGCTATGCTAACGCTATACTAGTACCTGTTTCCGGACTCGGATAGCCCGAAATATATTATGGGTTTCGCTGTGATCTCGGCCATGTTGGCAGTTGGTGTGATTGTCTTCCTGATTCTGCACGTTTGGATTCGTCGCAAAGCCAAATCAGATGCGAGGCAGTAGGAGCTTGGACTTTTGATTGCAGAATTTTGCGCATGATTGTATCTCAAGATACGACCACATGGTTGAACAACTGGCGCGTACTAATCACTACCGGCGACAATGGCAGTGTACCCTTGTTACGAATAACGAACAAATGTATATATATGATGAGTCCCTGACGAATGCACACCGTAATAGGAGGTAATACACCACATGTGATCCAGAAATGTACTGCGCCGCGGACTTCTTGTACTAGCTGGAAGGGAATGTGCCTGAAGGCACAAAAGAGGGTGGCGCTTCATGGCCGCAACTGGAGATCATGAATGACGCAAATTGAGAGATTCTTTGGTGGTTCTGGTGACCGTTGCAGAATTCCCTTGCTCTTCGCTGATACTAACGGTCGATATCTGGCAACCCTATTCGGAAGTTGGAACAAAAATATGTACGTCAAAAACAAACTCATCTAGCAAACGCAGAGAGTTCGTCTTTCTGATACTCAGCCTCAAGTTCTTTCGTTAAGGAGTCTGCAGGCCAGCGTATTCGTCGTTGACACTTGTCTAGGAGACCAAGTAATGCAGCACGTTCATGAGGAGTATGAACACCGAGTCCCGCTGAACCGAGATTAGAGATACACAAATAGCAAAACACTTGGCGGGGGAAGTTACCTCCATATAAACACTGAAGTGAGATACTAAAAGCCATGTCATCATTTTCATCGTTCATGCGAGCAATTCCACAAATAGTGCAAAGAGAGGATGTAAGAAGTTTCTGCGCAGCTCGATAGTCTTGAAGTCCGCCAATGGAAGGACGGTGTAGTATGACCATGATCCTGGCCAGGCTATGAATCTGCAAAGCAGCCGCACAAGGCGGGGGATTGACCCAGATTGGGGGGAAGACATCGGAGCTTGAAGGAACTGGGAGTGGGGTGAATTCCCGTGGAAGGCAGTCTTGCCATTCTTGTAACATATAGAGTAACTCGTTCCCCCGTTGCAAGCGTTGCTCCAGGTCAGTCGATTCCGACTCTTCCCGTGAAGAGTAGTTGACGCACTGTGCGAGCAGGTAGATCGCACGGGTCGTTAGTTCGGGTATCGTGAGGACTGAAACATGCTTTTTTGGCCTCCAGAAACTGAAGACTCGGCGCCGCTCGCGCATAGCTACCCATACATCCTGCCTAAGCCAGGCCCACCATACGGCTTGACGGAGGCCTCCGCATTCACCATCGTTGTTTTGATATCGTTGTATCCAGAATACCCCTTTGAGGTGCCGCTCCCAGTCTCGGTTGGAGCCATCAATCATCTCATAGGTACTAATCAAGAGGGCTGTCGAAATTAGCTCTTGGCTTCCAGCATATGATTGATAGCGCATAGCCTTGTTCAGGTAATGCAGTGTTTCATAGTAATAGCGAACGGCGACGTTCCGATCAACTGAATATGATGACTCAGAATGGTGATGATCCCCAGGGGTTTCCCTGAGAAGCGTCAGATGTCTCGCCGATAACGCCAATAACGCCTTCATCAGACCGGTGTTTCTCAGAGCCAGATGAGGAACGACAGAACAGAACTGCTGAGATGAATCGAAAAAGTCCAACCAGCCGCTGAACGTTTGTACAAAATGAGTAAATAACGGGAACTCCTGTTCTGATAGATGAATGGGAGCCGATGTGCTCCACGAAGATGGCACGTCCGGAAGAGCTTGTGACTGCTCATCAACAGCTGCCAACGGAACTTTCTTTCCCATTTCAGGGTCATGGTGAAATGATGCTGCCTGAAAGCTTTCCCGTTCTCTCAGATTTCGTGGCTCAAAGGCCGGACTTTGCGCTGAGCTTATTGAAGCTTCTTCTGCCGTCGGCAATGGGAATCTTTGCTGAGGGGATAGCAAAAACTCTCTGTCTGCATTTGCAGCATCCTGAGCCAGAAGCTCAAACCAGCTCAGGGGCGCCACCCTCGATGAGGTCGCTGATGACTCCGTACCAGGTGAAGGGACATATTCATGAAGCGGAGACGACACTGACCTGCTCGAAATCTGACGGTGATTGGATCGATTGGGGGCTAACGTTTGATTAAAATTGCTTGGTTGTATTGGGTGTTCTTGGTGACATGCATCCACAAGTACTTGCAGGGGTTCGTGGATTTGTGCCTGGGGACTTATCACCGTGGGGACATCTTGACTCGGAGTTGTGCTTATAGACGTCGCGTGAGATGTGGTATTATTGTCATCCCCATAGACGCAGGGCCGTTGACCCTTTCCGCATGGTCCACATTGTGGGCGGATCTTTGACGATGAGCGATATTTTTCACTACGCAAGGTTTCTACTTGGACTGATCAACTTACCTCATCACATTTGACGTGGCGACGCTTGCAAATTAAGCTAAGGACGATCAGCACTATTCGCAAAACGAGAGACGCCAAAAAAAGCTCCGTGATACTGACCAGCCCGCGTTAGTCCGTAGGCCCCGACCGCGAGATTTGCGTTGTTTCCGAATGCCACTCTGCGGGCCATTGTTTGGCATGGTGGAGAAAGGTTAAAAATAAAATTTATGTGACAGCCGATATCAACTAATGCAAGCAAGGGTGTTCGACTTTGCATTGCTGGAAAGTCGCGTCGAGGTTGGAGCACGTGCCGAGGCTGCCCGAACCACGTGGATGGGTTTGTTCTCTTTGTCCGGCGCTTGGAGATACCACATTAGTCATAAGTACGACCTGCCTCGAGACGAGGATTTCATCCTGAGCTCAAGCTTCAGTTAAAAAACATGAGGAACTCCTATGATGACGATGTTACTTTGACACCAAAGCAACTCAGTGATTGTCTCTAACCCCGCTTTACAATGACTCGACGTGCAACAAACAAGACCCTGCAAATCCTGGACGCAGCGGAAAAAGGTCGATATGGCGTTCTTGCAGCAATTGCGTAAGTTATAGTGATTGCTATTTCTAAAGTATACAAATTAACGAAGTCCATAGCTATAATGTCGAACATATCACTGCGTTCGTCCGAGCAGCTGAAAACCGCAAGTCGCCGTTAATCATCCAATTATTCCCTTCGGCGCTGACCCAAACACCATCGCTTGTCTATGCAGCTGCAGCCGCAGCAAGAGCAGCCTCCGTTCCTATCTCACTTCATCTCGACCACGCCCAGGATTATGATCAAATTAAGGAGATCGCTGATACACTACCCTTTGACTCGATAATGGTAGATATGAGTCATTATGAGAAGGAGGAAAACTTGGAAAGAACCGCAGCTTTGCGTGAATATTGCCATGCTAGGGGGATATCGACAGAGGCTGAGACGGGGCGAATCGAAGGTGGTGAAGATGGGATTATGGACACAGGTGATCTGGAAGGTATGAAATTCAAATGCAGAACCCAGGGTTTCTAATCTAATGTTGCTCTGTATAGGCATCCTAACTAGTCCTGATGATGTTGAAGACTTCATACGTGCGGGGGTTGACTATCTGGCTCCGAGCGTCGGCAACCTCCACGGTGACTATGGCCCTAAAGGACCGCAACCAGATATGGACCGGTAAGAATCGCAATGAACCGTACACTGAACGTCGCTAAATGCCATGAATGTGTTAGGCTGCACGGAATTTTCAAAGCACTTAATGGGCGCGCCCGATTAGTGTTACATGGAACGAACGACTTTTCCCCGGAGCTGTCGAAAGCCTGTATCCAAGCAGGTGTCTCCAAGTTCAACGTCAACAAACTCGTTTTGGACCCGTGGTATGATTATATTAGGGCTAATATCAACAAGCCTATAACACAGGTGATTGATGAGGGAATTGAGGTTCTTATAGAGTCGATGGAGCGGTGGATGGACATAATGGGCAGCAGTGGAAAGGCATAGAGAAAATAGAATTGCAGGTTTTTTTTTTTTTTTTTTTTTTAAATGTTAACGATATATCTTAAGCAATCCAAAGGCAAACATAGCGCGAGCGTTAGACACATTAACGGCTGTACTTCTTACCATAGATGATAGAAAACTACGTTCAAGAATGCTTCGAAGAAGCAGTAATGAGCTTTTCTCAAAAGGCGTAATCAAATCATAGGCAACGATGATTGCTAAGACTCTTACGATAGCAAAAAATTATGCCGTGACAGCAGAATACTGAGCCTATAAGAGTAAGTGGGATAATTGGGCGTTTGTTCTATATAATGTTATTAAACCCAACACGATCCCGGATGCCCCGTGGTAGCCTGCTGGGAATATAGTATGAGACTTCCATTGTGTAGTGCAATTGCTGCGAGTGAATAACTTGTATTGACTGAATCCAAGTTATTTCATTGCTAACTTGTACTTTTATTTACAGCTGTTGCTCCACCGAAAGACGTTATTCGTAATCATCCATGCTGTTCTCATCAGCTGCCTCCTCATCATCCAGTAACGGCACAAAACGGAAATCTACAAAGGTTACTGTGGGCCCTAGCGCTCCCCTAGAGGATCTTGTGCTATTGCTCGCGCCGCTGGAGCCGTGTGCGTCGAATTCAACCATAAACTGAAGACTCAAAACTCCTTGCCGGTCGCCCCGAATGCTTACTTTGTTAGCCACAGCCATAGCACGAGAAGCCTTCTGGATAAGAGAAAATCGGTAATTCTGCTTGATGCGAGAGCCCATTGAAGACGGTGGGCTAACAAGGAAGGTCTCAGTGACAGTAGGCGCAAGCTTGGTCCTCTTAGCCCGAGACCTGGATGTGCCATCGTCGGTCAACACCTTGCGAGACTGGGACGATGCCCCGTTGTCCGGGCCTTGTTCCTCTATTGAGAATTCTACAGAGGACTCGCTGAACGGACCACCAGAACCGGACAAGGCGAAGAAAGGTTCCCGATCTGCCGAGGCGGATATCTTTAACATATTTGGGTTAGTGGCACCCAGCTCCACAATGGCATTATGTAGCCAGGCGGAACGCATGATGACCTTCATTATGATGGCGTCACGTTGAAGAGGGATATCGACTTCACCACCATCGGGTTCGTAGGTTGTTAGTTCACAAGTGGTCTTGATCCCAGTCTCTGATAAAGTGATGCTTAGAGGGGAGCCGTCCTGGAAATATTGCAAGGTACATGAACGATCAAAAAGCAATGCAGGCGTGGTGAAGGCGTTCGATGACGAGGGGTTCGACGGTTGGACACTAACTGCCTTGTTGGCCCCGGTGGCGGATGGATCATTTACACCAAAAATTTTGAGCGTCTCAAGGAGGGAAGAAAGCGACACAACGAAGCATGGATTGGAAGTAGCATCTGAAGAATCATCACCGTCCCCCGAATCCCCAGAAGTGTTGTTCGGCGCGGCTGGTGGGTTGAAGGTGTAGGTGGTAAAAAGAGCTTTGTCAAGGAACGCGAGTCCCTGTATTACTCGGCCTTCCTCCACAGAAAAGCGAATCCCATCTGGGGTAATAAGCACGGTAGCTTTTGGTACAAAGCCAATGCACTGTAGTAGAGTGTAGAGATGGTGAGCATTGCTGGAAACAGCAGAAAAGATGGGTTCCACGTCGGCCATGGCTGGATGTACGAGATGGCGGAAAGGATCGGAAACAAAGAACTCGGACAAATTAGATTAATAGAGAGTCTGCAGGGAGGAAGAGCTTCGACGTTTCTAATGGTATAATCCTTCTGCTTCTCTCTCAACTGGGTATATGGTACATTGAAAAGATCTGGACGTCTTCCTAAACGTAGACCCCAACAGCGCAGATCATGTATACGGCCCCGAAGCTGGATGGTGGTATTAGCCATTGTCGGTCCCTTCGCGCAAGGTGCTCTTACCCGAATGCCAATGACGCCGGGACGCCAAATGAAGCGATGCTCAAGAAAGAGCGGTCTGGTTAAACGTTAGAAAATGTATCAAGGTATATTGGAAGGGACACAAACTCAGTCCGAAAAGACCAGTCAATATGAGTGCTGAAATAATCGTTAGTGCGATCGGTTCATGGCCATGTAGCGCAAACCTGTCTTACCAGAAAGCAAGAGGGTGAAGCCGACGGAGAACTGGCTGTCTTTGGAAATCAGTGGAGTGTAAGGGCTCGCGGAGGCTGCCTCCCAAACTTCGTTCAACGACATGGGGATAGATTGATTCAAATGAAGCCCAGCAGCTAGTGACTAGAGCAAATATAGCATGAAACGATTGAATTGGAGACTACTGAAGCTTCCTGAAGCTCCCTAGAACAAGTAGATAGTTATCTGGCATAATTGTGCCGGATTATTATATTCCCGATACCGACCCCCCCCATATCGGCCAAACGTGGAGATCGCGCCGCTTGGGACTGAGGAGCTGACAAGCAAGCGTTATAACCTCATTACTTGTACACCTGACAAGAATGGCATCGGACAGTGAGTGGACAATACTGAAATGCGATTTCTCGAGATTCTTGATATGTTTATTTACTGACCGATGGTCCAGACAACAAACGGAAAGCTTCGGAGGAAGCCCTTTCCCCAGATTCACAGCAACAGAGCAAGAAAGCGCGCACAGATTCCCCGGAGAGGGAACCAAAGGTCTGTTTCTTCGGTACAGGAATACTATCCGTGGAGTATGCTGACGGTGATTCAAAAGTCTGAAGGCGGACCACTGGGAAAGCCACCATTGAGGATCGTTCCTTTCCCGGAGAAGGTAAGCCGCCTTGTTTATTCACTTATGTGAACAATGCTTATCATGGACCTTTGATAGCCAGCCGTACTAGAAGAACGTCGAGGGGAGATCGAATTCCGGGTTGTTAATAATGATGGTTCGCGCGACAGCTTTGTTGTCCTCACTGGACTGAAGTGCATCTTTCAGAAGCAGCTCCCGAAGATGCCCAAAGACTACATTGCTCGACTGGTCTACGATAGATCGCATTTGTCTATCGCTATTGTCAAACATCCGTTGGAAGTAGTAGGGTATGTGCGCATGGTTCGGAGGCCTGGCACACTCTCTTGCTAATGATGCGCAGAGGAATCACATATAGGCCTTTCAATAGTCGCAGATTTGCGGAGATTGTTTTTTGTGCCATATCTTCTGATCAACAGGTCAAGGGTTACGGTGCGCATCTAATGTCTCACTTGAAGGTAACTGGCTTCGACACGTTGCGGTGCACAGGGAATGCTAAGTGCTATACAGGATTATGTGAAGGCAACGTCGCCTATCATGCATTTCCTGACATATGCGGATAACTACGCTATTGGGTATTTCAAAAAGCAAGGGTTCACAAAGGAAATCACACTGGATAAGTCTATCTGGATGGGTTATATCAAGGATTATGAAGGAGGCACCATTATGCAATGTACAATGCTTCCAAAGATACGGTATCTTGAGATTGGTCGTATGCTTTTAAAGCAGAAAGAAGCAGTACACGCCAAGATCCGTGCTTTCAGCCGATCACATATCATACACGCCCCACCAAAAGAATGGAAAAATGGAGCGTGTAAAATCGATCCGTTAAGTATCCCGGCAATCAAGCAATCTGGATGGTCACCCGACATGGATGAGTTAGCGCGTCAACCACGCCATGGACCGAATTACAACCAGCTACTACATCTGCTGAACGATATGCAAAATCATAGTGCAGCCTGGCCATTTACGCAGCCGGTCAATCGTGACGAGGTTCCCGATTACTACGAAGTCATTAAGGAGCCAATGGATCTGTCGACCATGGAAGAAAAACATGAGAAGGACATGTATCCGACACCACAAGATTTCATTAAAGATGCTATGTTAATCTTTGACAATTGTCGAAGATACAACAACGAGAATACGCCTTATGCAAAAAGTGCGAATAAACTGGAGAAGTTTATGTGGCAGCAGATTCGAAACATTCCCGAGTGGTCGGTAAGTATATCAGTGCAGCCCTGGCTTGGTAAATGCCCTGCTTTGCTAATCGTTATCTTATAGCACTTGGCGGATGGCCACTAATCGATTGAATGATTGCATGAGCTTGGAGAGGTAGGAGTTTTGGCTGCTGGCGTTTGAATTTTTGAAGACGGTGTCATGAGCAAATACCCAATTGATGCATGGAGCATTTCGGTTTCTTTTCTTTTTAATATGTATTTTTAGGGTGATAAATTCGAGGGGATCCGTGCATTAGTCCTATACCTTGGCATTGTATAGTTCCTCATCCTTCTTTCTTTTTTTCTTTTTCTTTTTATATATATAAAATTTCCTCCCTTCTCCTCTCTTGAACAGCCTAGGCGACATTCGATATAGTCACATTTCTATTGCCGATCCTTTCAAATGCTTATTTCTTCGGCAGAGAAAATGTGACTGCCTGGGTTGACAAGAATCCATGGATGATGGCATTCCTTGCCGAAAGCTGTCGAGAACGTGGAGCTGATCATCGGCCCGTGGGTCCAAGCCAATTTAATTTCGGATCAACGTTAAGGCGGGCCGTTAGTTGGGCTTAGCGGGCTGCCAGCCGTGCAGAAAGAAACCAACCATCTTAAGTCTCTTGGAGGCTTTACTTGAAGGCTGGTGTGTTTCTGTTTCTATTTCTATTTCTTCACTGGGATTCTGCAGCTTGCATTCCTTGCTGGGATTCTGAATGGATTGTGCCTGATTATTGGTTCTCAGCTGCGATCCGGTGGCTGTTTGTTTACCTTCATCTAACTCCCCTCTCCAGGGGTTCTGTGGCGGACAGGCTTCAAAATTCTAGATTATTCACGACAAATTTCACCCAAATTTCACACTCAAGTCATTTTCCTCGTCATTCGTTACTTTGCTCGCTCTCCAGTTTCTCTACTTCTGTCATTGAAATCATAGTTGAACCGCTCCTGTTTATTTACGGCTAATCCCTCACGCAACCCGATCTCGACGTTCTTTCCCCTTTTCCTAGACCGATCTCCACTATTCGATATAACTAGCATTCCACAAAGATGGCGTCGCCTTCGCTTACGGACTTGGAGCAGCGGAATCGGCTCCCGACTCTCTTTGAAGTCCTTAGCCGTCGTACATTAGCTCCTGTCGATCTTTTTTCGTTTTACATTTACATGCGGGACCAGCAGCGCTCGGTCGACTATTTGGACTTCTGGTACGATACATGCGCGCACCTTGACGCATCATTGCGTCGCTCGGGAATCTTTCTAACCATATCGATTTTAGGCTCGATGTTTCGCAACATATGTCTTTGTGCCGTCATTATGTTCGGGAGTTACGTCGATCCGTTTTAGTAGCGACACCCGACTTGGAGAAAGCGGATAGCAAAGGCTCCTCCGATGCCTTAGGGAACCTTGAGACTTTCGGCGATATACCGCTGGTGGAAGCCGGACCCTCTGGGTTGCGCCACGGCAACCATGAGTTGGATGATCAGGACGCCGATCAAAGATTGTCCGCATTCTTGCGCTCTGATGGTCATAACCCAGGGCACTCGCCCCAAGACAGCCTGGGCTCGCAGAATGCCTCCCGCACACCGTCTAATGAACAACTACCTCGCCCAAGCTCTGGAACGCGAAACGATTCTATTTCGCCTGGCCATACTGTGGCACGGGCCGACATTCGTGCAAGTGCAGAGAAGATTCTATATACATATCTGCTTCCCGGCGCAGAAAGAGAAATTGTACTTCCAGAGGAGATGGTGTCTACAATCATCAATTTGGTTGAAGATGACGGCCGAGATGACCCAGAAGTCTTTGATCCCGCTAAAGACTATGTTTTTCAGGCTATGGAGCGCGATGCATTCCCAGGGTTTTTGCAGGCGAAGGCCCTGGGTAACCTTGTCCCGCTGAGTACAATTGCCCGTCTCGCCTTTGCGCTGATAAGCTTTGGTGGCGGGTTTTGGGGGGCCTTCTACGTTGTACTCCGCGACAAGCCAAGGCACATTCGTTGTTGGGTATGTTGAGTGGTTTGCCCGGTTTTGCTGCGCTCCAACGCTAACAACTATGCAGTTGATACTACCTTTTATCGTCGCATCCTATTTTATTGTCTCATATCAGTACAAGATCGACCCTGTTATGGCATTTCTCGGATACAGTGAATATACCTTTATGAACTGGTCGCCGATCCGCGAACCATACGTGCGAAAGCTGTTGAACAAACGCGCCACGGCAACTATTTTAATCGCTGCATTCGTCGCCACCGCGCTCAGTGTCCTGTTCATCTTTGTTCCTGGTACTATGCTCTGAGCTCATTGCCGTCACATGCCAAATTCTGGGCCAAGTCTTCAGGTTTCGCTCTGGTGCCTCTTTCGGAAGGTTAATGCGGGCGTTTAATCCGGCTACCCACAACCGACAGCGCTTATCATATGGCTACGAGGCCTCGTATACAAGATCGGATGTCGCCTTGGTCCCGACCACCCAGCTCTCCTGGCAACTGCGACGTATTGCAATGAAAAGAGTGGTTAAACACGCGAAAGAAATGCATATATTATTCCCCATCACAGCAACGGACTCATGATCCCGAACCCATATGACCAGCGGACAGGGTATCCTAGTTTCACGGATTCCAATGGGCTCAATCTCGGGTCAGTGGTCCGTCTACCTTTGTCAATATGAGCATCCCTTTTTCCCCGACCATTTTCCATTTTTAATTTTTTTTTTCTTTGTCCATTTACATTCTGAGAATACCCCTTTTTGCTAAAATTGTCCGTTAAACGACCGTCAGCGAGCCTTTTGGTTTAGTGTTAAGTGCATGGGAGTTAGGCTTTACAATGTGACATAAATAATGGGAGTAATACATTCTAACGCGCGACCTCATACAAGCTGGACGGGAGAGGAAAAGTTGAGGATAAAAAAAGGCCGTTGACATCTGGTTCGTATGTAGGGCTTGCTTCGACACCTAGTAGTCAAAAAGATCTAGGGATTTTTCGTAATCTGTGAAAGAGATATGGTAATCCCTTGAGTTCATCACATCACATTAGGATTTCCTCCCCAAAACACGTTTCGCATGTCTAGCTCCAGCACCTGCTGATCCCGTAACGGACGATCCTGCGCCCTGGTCAATATCCATCTTCGAGGCAGAAAATTGTGAGTCATAGGCTTCATCAGCACCGTTGTCCCAGTATCCATCATCAAAGTCATCCCCGCTGAACTCGCGCTTATTGCCGACGAACCCTGAGGAACCACCCTTTACACCTCCGTGCCAGCCTTGCTTTTTGGATCCTGGAAACCGGGGGTTTGACTCACCCCCATCTGAGCCCCAGTTTGACAACGTCTTCTCGATTAACACTGACCGAGCCTGTTCCTTCGCGCGCCGTTTCGCCGAGTCAGTCTTGATCTTGGCGATCTCGGCCTCGATGTCGCTGATGACGTCGCCGCAGCGGGTCTCCCACTGGGTGAGGATTGAGATCATCGTTTTCAGTGATTGAGGCTTCACGTCCCGTAAGGGTGCGACAGAGGTCACATTGATGGTTGGGGGGTTCGTCGCCGGGGAGAGACGAGCGGTGATAAGAGAGGAGTAGATGGCGGTTGTGACTAAAGATTCGAGTTCAGAGGGAGCTGCGATTGAGAGTGCATCCATGAGGATCTGATATGTGAGCGGCTTGATGGTTGCAGATAGGCTGAGAAGAGATAGAAGGCGGAGCTTTAGGGTTTGTTCATTGTTAAGGGAAGGGAGATTCGGCGTTGCTGTTTTCGAGATGCGTTAATCAAATCATTCATGCTCAGGAATCCTGAACTTCAAGAGATCAGGATAGTTTTCGGTCGGACATACTTTGATAATCCTGCCATGTACCCCAGGCAAAGATCTCCAGTAGTGTAAGGTATCCTTGATATTCCGCGGGGGTGTCCTTGGACCGGAGGGCTTGGACTGTGGGTGTCTCTAGCAGCTCTGCAAATACATAAGTGTTCGGACTCGAGGTGGCATTTGTGATCAGATTTGCGACAAATTTTGGTGATGTAGCGCTATTCGAGTTGGCCAGGTGGACGAAGGGTTGGAGGGCCTCCATGGCCCGGGAGTGTGTCTGATCCATTGGGACTTGAAGTGGTTGTTTGGCGAGCGTCGATAATAAGGTATATGTTAGATCTCGGTATTGTCTGACGTTGTTCCTTATCAGAGAGTCTTCGCTAATCTATGCAAATCACTTTTATTACCGTTAGAAATTATACAGTCCGTCGGTGTGAATGGGGAGATGTTGCTGAAAGCAATGGTGATGATACTATCCAAGTGATGTCCCGAATGGGGTGTTTGTTTGGGATGCAAACCATGACATTCATCCCCACCAGATATGATAAACTAGGCTATATCGGGAAATTTACTCTTATCTCCAGGCTGGCATGTCTAGTGCTGTGGTTTTTTTTTTTTCTTCTTTTTATTTATTTATTTATTATTTTTCTCTCAGCCATCTTTTTGGATGCTAATATAACTGTCTGAACAGTTAGATTGATTGATTAGAGTAGTTTTCCACCCGTGAAGAACGTTTTGTCCGATTATGAGCAGTTACTCCGTCCTTGGAAACCTAATGGTGCTCAATATGCCAGGAAGAGCGCATAGTCCTACATACAAATGGATGCAAGGAGCCCGCATCACATAAAAGGTTGAAACGATGAATTCCTCAAAATCTTTGAGAACATTCTTTGCCAGGATATCAGGAGCAATTGTCACCCTTAATATACTTAGCAAAAGGAACAGCATGGAGGATATCAGGTAATAACGCTTAAAATGAAACATTAGAGGCTCTTGACTGTTTCATGGTAATGACCCTTTTCCTTTGACATGCAGATTTTCTGTTTCAACTTATAACGTTGATTATTGTGACATTCTATTGAAGTTTTCTTTCCTTCTTTCTTTTCTTATTTCTTTCGTTTATGTACCAACTGATCCTTTTTTGTTGGAACTTGATGGACTCATTTCTGGGTTACCTATTGTGGTCTATTTCCGGAACCGAATCTATGGAAAGCTGCTGACGAGGAAAAAGTACGTGGTCTCTTACCACTTACAACATCCGTGCTTTTCTGCCCGTATGGTACGGTAAGGCTACTAGTTCAGCTCGATTTCCATGATCTGCTGGACAGGTCAACTATGGAAAATGTTGCGGAATGCACATCAATTTTTTACTTAATCCCAACCCCCTCCCTCACAAGCTGGAATGTAGGGAAGTAGATTTCGTTCACTGCAAACGTGAAAATAATGAGCTTTGTAGTCCTTGTCCATCGTTTCCAAGGGGAAAAAAAAAAAAAAAAAAAAGCCCTTTGGGAAAAACACACAGAGACTTTTAATGGAAAGGGGGGACCTGAAAGGCAATCTATCTGGGATCCCGATCTAATCTACTGTTGGTAAAATACGTGTACCGGTGGCTACATTTGACCTCAGCTTGCGATATACTTTGGCATTTTCCTTTCTCCCCCCCACCCCATTCCTTACAGTGCAACTATTACTTGGCATCGATTTATAATACTCGAGCAATTTCCTGTTTCTTTTGCGTGCATATGCAAACCATTGAAAACCAGGCGGAAACCCCTCAGCACACGAACTTCGTCCCCATTGGAGTTCGGCGAAGATTAAATCCAGCTCGGCGAGGATTAAATTAAATTGAATGATTGATCCGCTCGTACTTCCGACCACATCCGCTTCGATTTTCCTGCAATCCGAACCCACTAGTTGACGTCTGTTGTTCTTTGGCGCTAACATCGCTTTGTTCTTATATCCAACTGAAAGGGCTGGATAGCTGCTCCTATGTACTGACACGCCTAAACCTGGCTTCCTTTGCCTGGTTTCTCATCCCCGACAAGGCACGATGTTAGGCGCCCAGGTTGATGGCTCTTCCGCCGCCCGGTTGCCAGCGCACATGGCAACCACCACAGTGAACGTGGAGGGAATGACGTGCGGCGCATGTACGTCCGCCGTAGAGGGCGCTTTCAAAGGTGTGGATGGTGTTGGTGAAGTGTCGGTGAGCTTGATGATGGGCAGGGCTGTGGTACATCATGATCCAGACGCACTATCGCCGGACAAAGTCGCCGAAATAATTGAGGATAGCGGCTTTGATGCGACGGTTATCTCTACAGATAGCCCAGCGGGCGAACTGGGCGTTACAACTACGGTCAAAGAGAAGGGGCCGATGGTCTCAACCACCACGCTGGCGATTGAAGGGATGACATGTGGTGCCTGCACGTCGGCGGTCGAAGGGGGTTTGAAGGAGGTAGCTGGCGTGAAATCGGTCAATGTTTCATTGCTCTCGGAGCGAGCCGTTGTAGAACACGACGCATCTACCGTGACGCCCGATCAACTTGCAGAAATCATTGAAGACCGTGGCTTTGGCGCTAGGGTGCTGGATACCACTACGCCTCAGAGCGGAGCTTCACAGGGGACCACTGAAACTACGTCGCGACTGATGGTCACTACTGTTTCTATAGACGGCATGACCTGCGGCGCATGCACGTCAAGTATAGAAAACGTTTTCAATGGCGTGGATGGGTTAGTCCAATTCAATATAAGCTTGCTCGCTGAGCGCGCCATCATCACTCATGATCCCATGGCTTTACCGTCTACGAGCATCGTAAATATGATTGATGATGCTGGCTTTGAAGCGACCGTTCTGTCTTCTGAACCGCAAGCTCCTGTCTCGAATGCCGTAGGCCGAGTCATGCTGAACCTTCATGGCTTGCGAGACGCACCCTCGGCGAGTGCTTTAGAGGAATCTCTTTTTCAGAAGCCAGGTATATCCTCAGCATCGGTGGACATCGCTACCTCACGGATAACGGTATCCTATGACAGCTCGGTAATCGGAGTTCGCTCGATTGTGGTGGCGATTGAAGCTGCCGGATACAACGCCCTGCTCGCGGATACGGATGACACCAATGCGCAACTGGAATCCCTGTCCAAGACAAAGGAGGTCCAGGAGTGGAAGCGCTCCTTTTTGATTTCTGTCTCATTTGCCGTCCCTGTGTTTGTGATTAATATGTTACTGCCTATGTACCTTCGCTCTCTCGACTTCGGCAAAGTACAATTAATTCCTGGCCTCTACCTTGGAGATGTTGCTTGCCTTCTCCTCACTATCCCGGTGCAGTTTGGTGTCGGGAAACGATTCTATATCTCCAGCTATAAGTCTCTAAAACATCGCTCGCCGACTATGGATGTGCTCGTCGTGATGGGTACATCCGCCGCATTTTTCTACAGCGTGTTTACAATGGTGATGGCCTTGCTTATCGCGCCTCATAAGCGGCCCAGCACAGTATTTGATACGAGCACGATGCTTATAACGTTCATAACCCTTGGTCGCTGGTTGGAGAACAGAGCTAAAGGACAAACATCTGCCGCGCTCTCTCGGCTTATGTCGCTGGCCCCGTCGATGACGACCATCTACGATGACCCAATTGCGGCGGAGAAGATGG